TCGATATATCTCTGGCACACATTGATGTTTCTCTCCCTCTCTTTCTCCCTTCCCTCCTTTCTAAAAACAAAAATAAAATAAAATCTTAATAGCCGAGCCAAGTGGACACAAAATGAGCCATCGCAGAAAGGTCCTCCCCCTGTGACTGACTGGCAGAGCGGGGTGACTGCAGGCAGCAGGGACCAGCGAGTGGAGTGGGAAACACTTGAGCTGACGCTGGGTCATTTCCTGGCTGCAGAACGGGACCTGCACCTCAGCACACCCAGGGCGGTTGCCCAAGCTGGGTTGCTGTGGAGGTGTGTGAATAGAGCACTCGTTGTCTGAGCCTGGCTCTTCTCTGCTCTCCCTGAGACCCGCACAGACCAACCCCTGCCGCAGAGGCCTGTCCCCGGCCCCCCTCTCGCATTGCTCTCCCCCTGCTTTTTGTCCGGCTGCCTCAGCATTTCTCTGTTTTGGCTGGTTGTCCATACATACTATGCCTGCTGTCCCCACCGACCCTACGTAAGTCCCAGAGCCTCCTTCCTGAATGTCAGCTGCTCTGGATTCCCGCCTCCCCTTCTCTTCTAGATCCTGAGACACATCGGCCACCACATGTACCCTGGGCCTGTCTCAGCCTCACAGGTGGGATCAGCCCCAGTGGTCTGAACCGCATCTGGAATGAAGAGCTCGCAGCCCAGCACGCTCCGACACAGGGCATCTCCCACGCAAGCTGGGCTACCTCCACGCAGCTCTGGCCTGGAAGCATATGGGACCTTGAACATGATCTTGGAAGAAGCAGCCTAAGAAGCAGATCTGAGTGGTCCCATCTAAGCCTCTCGGAGCTATTTCCCCAGTTTAGGCCCAGTGACTGGGGAGCAGAACAGACCATAGAGAGTCTCTCTCAGAGCAGCAAGAGACCACAAAGTTATCTTAAATAGCCATGGAATTCCGGTGGCAGGTTCACAGCCTCTCCAGGCAGAAAGAGGGCCTGAAGGTCACTCAGACACTCCCCCGCTCAGGCACAAACTCCTTCTGAAATTTGTGAGAATGTCATCTATCACGGGACACTCAGTCAACCAGAGGGACTTTAAAAGACATTTTGGCAGCAGAGCAATTGCGCTCACGAACACAGCAGGAGGGAACTCTGAGCAAACTGGCATCTGCTGATTTACCTACTAATGTGTTTCTCCTGCCCACCCCACCGGCCACAGGCTGTGTCACTCAACGTTAAGGTACATCGCCCTCTGTCACCCCCATCCCCTCCCCCTTCCTAGCAAAGTGCCTGCCTGCAGCCCGTTTCCAAATAGCTGCTGAATGCTGAACAGATTACTAAGGCACCCCTCTATTTCTAACAGACAGGGAGGCCACAATTCAGAGAAACGATGAGACCGGGGTGTGGTCCCACAGCAAGTGTGCGGTGCCGCCGTAGGATCCCTGCGTCTCGGTGAGAGCGCTCTTTTCTACCCTCCTGCCTGACTTCTCTCATTTCCCCACAAAAGCCACAGGTAGAAGTGTTTATGGTTTGGCGGCTAACCAAGGCCACAAGCACTTCAACAGGTCACGGTCTGACCCTGTCATTTGTTTTGCGTTTTTTTTTTTTTATTTTAAATACTGCTAACAATTGTGCTTTCTGCTCTAATTTGCAAACTCAGTACCACCATGCTGAGGATGTTATGAACTGACACCCCAATTCAGGCAACACAGGCCCAGCTCACTGCTCCCCTGCTTTCAAGGGTGGTAACCCCGTGAACATTATTATTTCCAAAGCCTGCGCCACAGTGGTAAGTGTGTCCGTTTGTGAAAAGCATTTCCTCCTTTGTGGAACCCTTTTGTGAATGCTAACTTGTCTGGCACTTGACAAAAATCTCCCAAATGAAATCATGTTCTCTCAACATAGTGCCGTATGTTTGTTTCCAAGAGGCGAATTTAGTTTATATGAATTATCTACATACCTCAAAAGTTGACTACAAAAAAAAAGGCCGTGACAAGTTACAGGGGACTTTTATTTTCTTCCTTGTGCTTTTCTACGTTTTCCAAGTTGCCCTTAATTGAAAGGAAAAAAAAAAGAAGAATGCAGCGGGCTGAGGAGGAGGATGTAGGCAGGAGATCGTCTCTGAGGACTTTGGCCTCTGATTGTGCCCCCTGATGGGCAAGTGGAAAGACACAGCTGAGGGTCAGGGGAGGGGACCCCACCCCTCACTGTGTGTGACCTTGGGGAATCACTCCACCCCTCCGGGCCTCCTCTCTCTGCACTCTGAACGGATCTGCCACCTGCTGGGCCTGCTTCATCCAGCTGTGGGACGTTGTATAACGAGACAGGTTGGGACACTGCGCTCTGATGGCCCTGCACACGTGACCAGACCTCGGCCACCTCCCTGCCCCTTCCATCTTGGTACCATCAAATACTTCAAACACACAGAAAATGGAGAAAAAGTTTTACACCTGAGGAGAAGGATCAGAAAGAACAACTCTAGACTCAGCATTGCCAAATCTCGACACCTGACCACATTTGCTTCAGACCTTTTTTCCTAAAAAATAAAACAGTACAGCCCTGACTGGTGTGACTCAGTTGGCTGGAGCATTATCCTATAGCCAGAAAGTTGCAGATTTGATTCCCAGTCAGGGCACATACCTGGGTTGCAGGTTCAGTGCCCAGTCTGGCTGGTACGATCCCCAGCCTGGGTGCATACAGGAAGCAGCCAGTGCTTCTCTCTCCAATCGATGTCTCTCGCTCCCTTCCTCTCTCTCTAGAAAGCAATGAAAAGGTGTTTGTTCTCCAGTGAGGATTAAAAAAACACAGAAATAATTGAAGCCCTGTGTACCTCTTTCTGACCTCATTGTCATCCCTCCCTTCCCAGGGACAGCCACCCTTCCAAATGTGCTGTCTTTGCCGCTCCGTGCACAGCTTAAACTTTTCCTCCCTGACTGGAACCCTAAAAATATGTGCCAGTGTTCAGAGCAAATGTTCGTGTTACACTGTACCTACCCCACAACTCGATGCTCTTTTCCTACACAATATCTACGGTGAAGCTTACAGCCTTAGTTTCTTTCTCATCTCAGTGCATTATTCCGCTGTGTGAGTAGATCACAATGTATCTATCTCGACGGCTATTGATGGATAATTAATCCATGTCTAATTTCACGGTTGTATGTGGAGTGAGTGGAGTGGAGTCAGTGGACTGCAGATAAGAGCGTCTTGAACTTGATTGGATGTAGCCAAAGTCCACTCCAAAGCGATTGATAGCCATTTACTTCTCTGTTGATGTAATAAGGTGCCACACCCTTGCCACTCTCACCCCGCCACACACACACATCGACAGGCTTTTTCCTCTTTATCAGTCTGCGGGATGTGAAATGGTGTGTCCCGATCTTCATTTGCATCTCCGACATGACCAGTGAAGTTGAACCTTGTTTCATATTTTTGGCCATTTAGGTTTCCTCTTTTGTGAATCACCTGTTGTTACCTTTAACCCATTTTTCTCTTTACATTGCACTGTTTGTCCTTCCCTTGTTTGTCCACACTTTCAACCTACTTCTGCCAGATCCCAAAGCAAGTTCAGATTACAGCATTTCTCTGCTCTGGACTTCCAACGGCTCTCCTAGGACATGTGCCATTTGTCACCTTGTTTAGTGGCCCTGGATGGCCCGTGAGCTTAAAATCAAGTTCAGGCCATTACTTTCAGCTCCACCTTCCCCTCCAACCTCGCCTCCACTGCTTCCCCCCATGCACCTGAACTCCAGCCAAATGCACACAACTCATTCCAGCCCAGGCTCCTGCAAGTACCATCTCCTTCACCTGGAAGCCTCTCATCCCTAGTTCCACATTCTGCCTAAATGTCACTTTTTCCCTGAGACTTATCCTCTCTTCTCAATTCAAATTTAGAGTCACTGCAAAACATCACTGGCCATACTATACCTTTCCAGTGGCATTTATAATGTCCTGTTTTGCAGTTTTAACAATGCCTTTTATACACCACTTTTCTGATTACAAAAGTACCTGTTCCTTCATCATGCTATATTAACCTTCATTCATAATCCGATTTTAACCTCGTCTAAGCAACAACCCATTAAGGTGGAATAGCATTATTATCCCCTTTGAACAGATGAGGAACTGTGGCCTAAAGGGAGACTAGCTTACCACCCAAGATCCTCCACTGGCCCTAAGGCAGAGCTGGATGGACTGAAGGGAGGACTCTTCCACCACATCCAGTTCACTGCACCACGCCTGTCCTATTTATATATGTGTTGTTGCTGCTTGTACCAACACCTGACACCCCCATGAGACTGTGGGCCCCACAGCTGCCTGTTCTAGTTCAGCCAGGGGGGACACTCAATGAATATTTAATTTCTTGACACAGTACAACAGTCACTGCAAACCCACTGGGTGCCCAGGGCTTTGCGCATATTAATTCTAACCTTCCCAACAACTCTATTTAGGTGAGGAAACTGAGGCTGGGGGGTTGAAGTGATCTGCTCAGATTGCACAGCCAGTAATCAGTGGAGCTGGCCTGTAAGAACAAGAGGTAGGTGCTTCCTTCTGTAATCTCCACCCTGCACACCCCAAAGGCAGACCCAGCCAGCTGGAGATATCATGTCCCAAGGGCCAGAGGCAGAAGACCAAGGGTGGGCAACTTGACAGTCATCAGGGGAAAGCTGGGGTAGGGTGGGAAAGCCATGGCCACTGGCCACTCCCATGATGTACACACTTCCCCAGCCTCATGAGGGTGCCTGCAGGTGGTGACAGTAGCAGGTGAGAGGAGGTCTGAGTGATAAGGAAGGGGGTAAAGAGTGGGGTGTTGTTAATAAGTGTTCTCACCTCCCCCCAGGAGTGAGTCCCGGTGGGGACACGTTGGCCCTCTCTCCCCAGGGAAAGGGCCTGATTTGGCGGGAGTCACGTTCATTGCTATTATCTGCTCTTCCTTAACATCAGTCTGCTAATCCTAGCGTTGTGTATGTTTTCTTTCAGCGTGTGCCATTCGTTTAGTACGTTGTTTGCATATGTGGTAGGCTTTTGCAACCTATCTTTGTGTTGTTTCCGCGCACTGAGTGCAATTTGTTGATGGACTTTGTTACTGTGCCTGTTTGTCCACCTTATGTGTAAGTTCTGTTGTGTGTCTGTGCTGTGTACACTGTGTGTCCTAGTCTGTATGTGTCTACACTCTGTAATCACCTCTTTATTGTAAGTATGTGTCGTGCATATGGTGTGGTGTGAACTTGTAGCTGTGCTGTGTCTCTGTGCTGATCGTGCTGCGAGCGCAGGGTGTTGTGCGTTTATGTTGTGTGAATCCGGTTTGGGTTGCCCTGGATCCTGTCTGCGCTGTGAGTCTGCACCTTCCTGCTGTGTCTGTGCCCTGTGCGCAAAGCTGTTTCCTTGACAAGTGTGCGCCTGCTCTAAGCGCCGCGCGCGTCTGGTGCTGCTTCTGTGAGTGCGGGCGTTGTGCCTGCACCCCCGCGGCGCGGCGGTGTGGCAGCACTGCAGCTGCGCCCGTGCACTCGCGCCGCGTGTCTGCGCCCGGCGCGCGGGGGCGGCGGGGGCGGCCTGGAGGCGGGCGCGCGGGCGGGCGGGTCGCTGCGGGGCCCCGCGGCCGCGGGCTCCAATGGCAAGGCCGGCACGGCCCCCGTTAATTACATAAGCGGGACGTCAATAATTCGCGGGAAAACGCGAAAAAGATGGCGCCCCGCGCCCGGGGGGCCCCTTCCTGAGCGCCCCGGCCCCTCCCTTCTCTTCCTCCCCCCTCCTCCCCGCGGCGCCCCCGCCCCGCCCCGCCCCCGCCGAGACCCCGACCCCGGCCCCACAGGCGGACACTCGGCCGGGCAGCCGCGGGCCGAGTGCATCGGTCTCTGCCGCTGATGCGCTTGGTGGCCAGACTCCAGGTGGGACCGGCGGACACGCAGGCTCGCGGTAAGTTGAGTGCTGCAAGCGGGCGGCCGGGGCCCGGGGACTCCGCGCCACACTCTTCTCTTTTGCAATCTCCCAGAACATTTTGGCTGGGCGAACGCCTTGGGCGGGGGTTTGGAGTCCTGGGAAGCCGCGCGCCTGGGGGCCGAAGGGTGCTGACCGGTGTCTGCAGCGGGAACCCCGCCAGGGTCCCCGAAACTTTGGGGGGCGTGGGTGACAGGTCGCTATTCCCTTTTCCCAAATCTTTACTTTTTCTTCTTGGGGGGAGGAGTGGTGTGTGGGGGAGACCGGCGGGGGCGTTTGGGATTTTGTTCACGTCTGAAGTCAGGTTGCGGCAGAGTGGGGAAGGGGGCGGCTCTGCGTCATAGTGACTGAAGAGAGAGCGTAGCGCTGACCCGAAGGGGGTTCTTCTGCGAGCTACCCACCCCCTCCTTAATACCGTTTTTAAAAAGCCAACGGCCGCCCTGGGAGAGGCCCCGGCGCATGAATCATCCTCGCTTCCTGCCCCCGCCTGGCCCCGCGCTCCGGGTGCCGCGGATTTGAACTGGACGCAGACGAGAACCCGCAAAGAGGCATTTCTTTGCAGATGGGTTTGAATCAGCCAATCACAGCCCACGGGGGCCCGCTCCGGGGGTGGGGGGATGGAGACCTGAGTGGGGGGCCGCCACCCGTGACCCCACCCCTCCCTGGCCCAGCCAGGGCGAGGGGCGCGCCGATCCGGCCAGCTCCCAGCGACGAGGCAGGGGAGGAAGTGTCAGTTTGTGAACCTGCCAGGGCCCCGGGCCCCAGGCCGGCGGGAGAGGGGACCTCGCAGAGCCTCGGGCGGGGATCTTGCAGAGTTGCAGAGCCAGCGAGTCAGGTGGCAAAGAAGACAGGGATTTGGGCCGCATACCCTGCTCGATGCCTGTGTATTCTACCCTGAAGGAAAGGGAGGAATGGGGACAAGGGGTGGGCGCGCCGCCCTCTGGAGAGCCAAGACCCCAGCAGTGCCCGGCGTGCCCCGGGGCGCCTGACATGCACACACATGTCTCTAGCTTCATATGCTCACTGACATATTGCCGTAGACATCCAACACAGTCTCAAAGGAGTACACACTCAAACGTCCCTGTGTACAGATAATCATAACACCAGGTGCCCAGCGCCATGGCAGAGAGAGAGACCAGAGGAGCCGGTGCAGGGAACAGAGGGAGGCAGTGTTTGGCTTAGCGAAGAGTGTGCGGAGGGGCATGAAGCCAGGTGAGCCCAGAGAAGGGAGGAGGAGGCCTTGGGGAGGGCTTAGAAAGGCATTGGGGAGCCACAGAAGGTTTCCAGAAGAGAGTAAGATGGGAATTGGTGGCCCTGTGGAAGAGCCTGGTGGGGAAGCAGGAAAGTAGGGAGTGGACTGTTGAATCCTGGATGCGTGGTTCTCATTCCCCATCCTAGGTGACCAGCATAGGTGAGCACAGGAACAGGAAATAGTTTTTTAATGACTCAATGGCCCAGACGCGGTGAGGCCCTAACTTGGACGGGGACAGAGGGATGGAAAAGACAGCAGGATACTAGAAGTCACTGCAGCCACAGTTGGTGGATGTGGGAACTCATTGGTTGGAGAGGTCTAAGGTGTTTGGGGGTTCTGGGGACCCATTAACCGGAAGAGTGAAAGCATTTTATAGGCTGGTGAGAGACTGTCACAGAGAGGGTGGCATTTTGCTCAGAGCAAATTTGCATTTGAGTAAAAAGCACTAGTGAGTTTAAATGTCCCAGCGTTGGTTTCCATTAAATCATCCCATAATTGAGAACAGAAAGGGAGATTACAGAAGACACACACAGATGGCCAAGTCCACACCAGTTCACAAGCCACCGGGGCGGTTTCCTTTCTGGGTGAGACTTCTCGGCCAGCTCTCAGGGTAGGAGTGACAGTGTAAGATTTCCCACTGCTCCCCTGGAGGAGGCCTTCCACTCAGAGAGCATGCAGTATGTTTGCTTAAGGCATGATTTTCAACCCGCGTGCCACAGGCATTTTAAAAACATGCAATACTTGACTATTTAGTCAGGGGCACTGACATCTTTTCCTATAGATTGTCAAATAAAAATGATAACAACCAACATGGCAATAGCTGTCATGTGTGAATGCCCTGTCTTGGACCATAAATATATAGGTCATATAATAGAGTTGCATCTTATTGGTTACAGTGCATAATAAGGTTGCATCTGATTGGTTAATTCTTGGTACCAAATATTCTTATATACAAGTATAGACAAAACTATACACATATTATTAGACTATAAAAGGGAAAGGAAAGGCGCTGGCTGGTGTAGGTCAGTGGATTGAGTGTGGGCCTGTGAAGCAAAGGGTTGCTGGTTCGATTCCCAGTCAGGGCACATACCTGGGTTGCAGGCAAGGTCCCCAGTAGGGGGCACATGAGAGGCAACCACACATTGATGTTTCTCTCCCTCTCTTTCTCCTTCCCTTCCCCTCTCTCTAAAAATAAATATTTTTTAAAAAAGGAAAAAAAACCAAAAAAAAAAAACTATACACATATTATTAGAAAAGTCACTTTGGAGCAAAAACAGTAGGTAATTACTATTTTTATTTGTTTGTAAGCCAACCAAAATTATACCTATTTTTGGATCAGATCAGCAAAAAATATATATTTTTGGTGTGCTGAAGAATTTTTGTAATTAGTTTATGTGTGCAATGAGATGAAAAGGATTTAAGGGATAAAGCCTCGGGTTCCTAAGCCAGAGAGTGTGTGTGGTTCAGGCCCCTGGCCTGGAAGACTTTGCTCTGTGGTTGGCTGAGAGATTCTTCTCAGCAGAAGGCAGCGTGGTATGAATGGAAAAGACAGCAGAACTTAGGTTCCGCCCACCTGATTATGAGCTACAGTGCTGCCTTGAATCCCCCGGCTACAGTGCTGCCTCAAACCCCACCTTGAGGTTTGGCCACTTCCCCTTGCCAAACCTCAGTTCCCCTGCCTGTAAAATGGGAATAATAACGCACCCCTTGCAAGGTCGTCATGAAGATCTTGTGAGATAATAAAAGCGTCTGGCACATACCACAGATTACATAAATGGCAGTCCCCTTCCCCTATCTCTGAAGCAAGGGGCAACAAGCCTGTTCTCTTTCTCTTCCAGTAAGAGTGGAAACCAATGGAGAATCGAGCCCTGGACCCAGGGACTCGGGACTCCTATGGTGCCACCAGCCACCTCCCCAACAAGGGGGCCCTGGCAAAAGCCAAGAACAACTTCAAAGACCTGATGTCCAAGCTGACAGAGGGCCAGTATGTGCTGTGCCGATGGACAGATGGACTGTATTACCTTGGGAAGATCAAGAGGGTAAATAAACCTTTTCTCCCTGGCCCCTGTTCCCAGGTTTTCAGCATCTCTCTGCTCATCCTGTGGCCTAGGCCTCAGACCGGTGACGGAGGATGGGGGATTGCGGGAAATTCCCTTCTTGTCCCTCACTCTCAAGGGCTGAGCATGGAAGGAGCTTTTGCAGGTGCCATCCTTAGAGCTAACATCACCCACCCAGTTCTCTAGAAAAGTGCTCTGCGCGCCTACAAAACAGCCCGGACTCAGGGTGGCGATGATCACAAACACATGGCTCATTCTGTCCTCAGCATTCTCACCAAATTGTCCCTAGGTCCCCGACTGTACAACTCCAGGGACTAGGCATGCACTCCCTGCAAGAGCTGCCACCTGCCTTCCCCTCTGGGCCACCTCTACTCTCCGGAGCACAGGGAGGGGAGCACCTCGGTCCCTAGGCCCTGCAGAAGACCGCGCTGCAGGGCTTCTCCCCACTTTCTCACGCTGCTCCTCCCTCTCTGCCCCAGGTCAGCAGTTCAAAGCAGAGCTGCCTTGTGACTTTTGAAGATAATTCCAAGTACTGGGTCCTGTGGAAGGACATACAGCATGGTGAGTATTCCCGAGATTTCGGACACCCCTGCCCCACCCTGTGTCCTTTCTCTTCCTCCACCTCCATTCCCCCCTTATCTTTTTCTGTCTGTTATCCCTGCCATCTGACCTTGTCCATGAAACCCCAAGCCCTCCTGATATGCGATCAGAATCCCAGTTGTATGTTTGCATGGAAAGGCCCTTATGACATTTGTCATCCCCTTGGGTGCCCATACCTCATGAGGGAGGCCAGCAGATGGAGAAATGTCAATAGGAGGTGGTGGGGGCGGGGTGGGTCCCAGGCCTGTGTCTGCCTCCTTGCTGCCCTTCATCTCCTGCTGCACAGAGCTCCCCGTGTCTCTGGGCCAGGAACAGGGAGGGCCCCAGACCATCGGAATTGTCACCTCTGGATGAGCACAGCGTGCCCTATCAACATGTGAAGAAAACTAGTGGAGGCAGCTCTAGCCATGGCGGAAAGACCAGGAAAGCAGAGAACGACCAGGCGGGGTGGAGATGGACATGCCCAGTGGATCTGGACCAGCTTGCAGGGTTGAAAGGGAGCTGGGTCGGGTGCCACCCCTGCCCTCAGAGAGTCCACACCATCTCACAGAGGGCAAATCAAGGGCATTCTGGAGCTCCCAGCAGTCTATTTGCCACTTATTCTCTAACAAACGAATAAATGTGGCAGTATGGGGAGGTCAGGTCTTTGGGTCAGATACTCCTTGGACAAAGGTCTAGCTAGCATTTACTAGTTGCATATCCTTGAGCAAGGGACATGACCTCTCTGACCTTCAGTCTCTTCATCTGAGACAAACAGATGATGAAAGTACTGGCCTCACAGGGTGCTTAAGGGAAATAATTGACCGAAAAGGCTTCATCCAGGCTTACAGGGGGGCTGCTTCTAAAGAATTTGTTACCATAAGAGATGATTTCAAGGAGCCTACCAAGTAGGAGGCCACAGAACCCAGGCAGTTAGTAAAGCTTCTAAATTGCCTTTTTCTCCAGGGGGTTGTGGCTAACGCAGACCGATTCTTCTCCAAGGCCCTCTCCTCTCAATTTATTATATAAAGATCCAAAGCCATAAGGACCTGCTGTCCTGGGCTCCCCTCTCGGGGAAAGCACAGGGAGTCTCGGGGCGAGGAAAGGGCTCACTTTCGCAGACCCTGAAGAGGGGGGCCCACTGTGCCAGGGACCGTGGCAGGCGGCGGTGCCAAGACAGAAATACGTGTCAACCGTGTTTAGTGTATTCACTCAAACCTTCCATGCACAAACACATATTTCCTCTTCAACAAAAACAAACAGAAAGCGAAGAAAAAAGAGATAGAGAGGGAACTTACTGTTTAAAAGCAACTGAACACACTTAAAATTGTTAGGACCCTTGCCTGAGACAACTGGAAATGTGAATACTAACTGAAGTTTGGATAGAGAGAAATCATTTTTAATTTTCAGGTGCAGTGAAGATGCTGTAGTTATAGATTTTTTTAAAAAGGCCATTCTAATCGTTCAGAGATACATACTGAAATATTTATGGAAATGATTGGGTATCTGGAACTTGAGGGAAAATAATGGTGGGAAGTGGGAGGGAATATTATCAAAACAAGATTGGCCATGAGGTCATAACTGTTAATGAGAATAGAGTTAAACTATGCCCTTCTGTCTATTACATTTCCTTAATGAAAATTTAAAGCACTATTATTATTTTTTTTAGAGATTTATTTATTTATTTATCTTTAGAGGGGAAGGGAAGGAGAGAGGGAGAGAGACATCAATGTATGGTTGCCTTTCATGCGTCCCCTGCTGGGAACTGGCCTGCAGGGAACCAGCCAGCAACACCGGTATGTGCCCTGACTGGGAATCGAACCGCGATCGTCTGGTTCGCAGGCCCGCACTCAATCCACTGAGCTACACCAGCCAGGGCTATTATTATTATTTTTAAAGATTTTATTTATTTATCTTTAGAGGGGAAGGGAAGGAGAGAGGGAGAGAAATACCAATGTATGCTTGCCTCTCGTGCGTCCCCTGCTGGGAGCTGGCCTGCAACCCAGGCATGTTCCCTGACTGGGAATCGAACTGTGGTTGTTTGGTTCCCAGGCCCGTGCTCAATCCACTGCGCTATACCAGCCAGGGCTAAAACATTATTTAACATTAAAAAAGCGTATAATAAATCAAGTTAAATCAGGCAGTAGAGGGAGCATGATCACAAGAACAGAGGAGTCCATGTCAAACAGCCACGGGTTTGAATCCGACCTCTCCTGCTTACTAGCTGAGCAAGGGACTTGACTTCTCTAAGCCTCAGTTTCCCCATGTTTAGAATGGGGTAATGACCGTAGGCATCTCAGAGTGGTTGGGAAGAGTCGGTGAGCTGGCCTGTGGAGCCCAGGGCTGGGCCCAGTACACAGAGGCTCGGCGCCTGGAGTGTGATTTTAAAACTTCTAGTTCCAGCCAGCTAGACCCCAGAGGGCCTCTTTCTTTCTTGCAGCTGGAGTTCCAGGGGAGGAGCCCAAGTGTAACATCTGCTTGGGGAAGACATCAGGGCCGTTGAATGAGATCCTCATCTGTGGCAAGTGTGGCCTGGGTGAGTGTGACGAGCCGGTCACTGAGAAGGCCCTGACCTGTGGTCCCTCCACCCCACCCGCCCCCACTGGACCCTGACAGGCAGTGCTTCACACCGTTGGGGCCTCAGCTGGCTTCCTGTTTCTCTTGGAGCTCCGCAGTGACAGGGGCCAGTCTCTGGGAGTGAAGGCCCAGGAAGGGGACCCTTGGGGCGAGCTGGGGCTTCTGGAAAGTGGAGACTAGTTATGCAGTTTGGAGCCTCCCTGGATGGAGAGCATAAATAGGAGAGATGGGGCACACAGGCTGAAGTCAGACCTCGGTGCCCTCCCCCTCTGGGGCCCAGGCTGTCTTTCGGTTGCCTCTTGGACACCAACTTGGCTTGCCTTGGTGAGAGCATGGCCAGCCAGTCCCCTGGCAGCTGGCAGGCGCACAGCTCCTAGGAACTGCTGCAGCCCTTCCCAGCCCTGCCTTTGGGCTGACTGGCCCTGGGCCACGGCTTCCTTGTGGTCACCCACCACCCCTCCTCTGCCTAGGTTACCACCAGCAGTGCCACATCCCCATAGCGGGCAGTGCCGACCGGACTCTGCTCACACCTTGGTTCTGCCGACGGTGCATCTTCGCGCTGGCTGTGCGGGTGAGCCCCCATCCTTCAGCCCCCGTCTCTCCCCTCTCCAATCACGAAGCCCAGCGACTCTCCGGGCTCAGGCCTGCCTCTGGGTCACGGAGCCAAGGTTTTGGAGGCAGGCAGCGCCTCTACCACTTACCAGCCGTATGTCCTTGGCCAGGTTCCTTAGCCTGCGGAGCTTCAGTTCCCTTCAGCTGTACATGAATACACGTTCCATGTCAGGACTAGGAGGCCCCAATAAATGAAGTCTTACTATTGAAAGAAAACCATGTATGTGCCCACAGTCATTAGTTATTATTACCTTTACTGTGTTTGTTACTATGAACGGAGATCCTTCTGGGAAAGGGAGAGAGAGGATGGATTTGGGATTGCTGAGGAAAAGCTCCTTGCGTCCGACTTTACTGGACTATCTGCGGGTCCCCCTAGTGGGCATTTCCCTTCTGGCCCAACCGGGCCCCCTCATCTCCCGCAGAAAGGCGGCGCGGTGAAGAAGGGCGCCATCGCCAGGACGCTGCAGGCGGTGAAGATGGTGCTATCCTACCAGCCTGAGGAACTCGAGTGGGACTCGCCCCATCGCACCAACCAGCAGCAGTGCTACTGCTACTGTGGCGGGCCGGGAGAGTAAGGCCGGCGGGGCGGGGCCTCGAAGGGAGAGGGGCGGGGCCAGGAGGGTCAGGCCAGGGCGGGACCAGGTTCCAGGAGCCGGGCCACCGACTGGGACGTTCCAGTGTGGGGTCAGGCCCGGGGAACTGGGTCGAGGGGCAGGGCTAGCCAGCAGGACCTCCAGGGAAGAGCCCGAACATAAGGACGGGCGCAGCGAGGTAGAGGTGGTGTCCTAGGGCACCACAGAAAAGAAGGAAGTATTACCAATGATTAAGAGCCTGCACACCAGGGTCTAAACCCCATGATAGCTGAGCAGGCCCTGAGCCTCAGTGCTCATAGTCGTTTCCTGCTATGAGAGGTGGCCGTGAGCAGCGCCTGAATCCAATGGTTCACTTAAAGGCTCTCACGGGGCCTGGCACTTATTGGGCACTTACGTGTGAGCTGTTACTGGGGGTGAGCGGAAGTTAAAACAAACCTTTCCACTGCCAGAGCCAATGAAACAGGCTGCTGGTGAGATATTAAGACCCTTTTTTGTGAGGGGGTGTCATATGTTGGGGATACTGTAAAGGGGGTCCTTGTCCCAGCTATAGGGCAAGGGTCTTTGCCTGATTCTTCCTTGCCGGGCCTGGGCCTCCATGTAGCTACGGTGACCACAGAGGCCAGCAGAAGAGATGGGATCTCTGCCCTCAGGAGAGGCAGCCTCCAGGACACCTTGACCTCCATGTCTTAGCCCCACGTGGCATTGACGAGAAGTAGGGGTCTGGAGGCTGTGGAGAAATGCCTTTCTCAAAGAGACCTTTACCGCTTCAAGGCAGTGGTTTTCCGTGCTTCTGAGCAGAGTTACCCAGGGCAATTGTTTCCCGTGCATTTCCCTGGGGCTTCCCCAAAGGTTGAGCGGTCTGGAGCGGGCTGAGCAATCTGCAGGTCAACTCTGGTGATCCTGATGCCAGTGGTCAGCCCACGGGCCACACCTGACAAGCTGTGAACAAAGCATTGACTCCCATTGAGGAAATACCATTTTGCTCTTAACTTATATTCACTGAGTACTCGTAGAATGTCTGTGAGGGAGACAAACCAGAGTTAGTGCTGCCCTGTGATTACTCTATTCTTCCATGGAGTCTCCTGGGCAAACTCCTCCCTGTCAGTGGTATCTGGGAAGGAGTGTGTGGGGTGCAGCCCAGAGATGAGAACGCCGGTCTGGCGTGGTGGAAGAGCGCTTTGAAGTCAGGGAGGCCGGGATTTAAACCCCATCCACCACTTGCTTCCTGAGCGACCCTGAGCAAGCCACTTAACCTCCGACTTGCCTATAAACTGGACATAGTGTCCCACTGTGAGATTAAAGGAGAATGCATGTGCCCTGCTTCCAGGACCTCCCCCAGCTCAGCCTAAGTGCTCCGTCCCTGGGTTCTCCGCCCTCCACTGGGTTCTCTTCCCTGGCCCCAGTGGAGGGTTTATGTTGGGAAAGGTTGCTGAGGCTCGTGTCTGGCTGGGAGCCAGGTGGGTCCCAGTCACATGGGCCCAGGTGACCCTGGCTCCTCTTGGTCTGCAGGTGGTATCTGCGGATGCTGCAGTGTTTCCGGTGCAGGCAGTGGTTCCATGAGGCTTGCACCCAGTGCCTCAATGAGCCCATGATGTTTGGTGACCGGTAGGTGCTGATCCGCTCTGCCTCAGCCCTGAGCGTGAGGTCTCGGGGGGAGGCAGGGAGCAGGAGTAGCAACTCTTTCAGACTGCCTGCCAGGCTCTAGTGAAGTGGGCTTCTGTGGGGGGAAGACTTCCGCAGAGGAACATTCTGGACTGCATCCCCAACTGCCATTGACTTGTGGGGGATCTAGACACAGCCCTACCTTCCCTAAGCCCCGGTCTCTTTAGGTGGCTGAGGAAGGGGGAGTGACACAGGCCCTGCCCACCCCTGTCCAGGGTTGTTGTAGGAGCCACTGGGTGAATGGATGACTTGATCCAGCTTCTAACCAATGGGGCTAAGCTGACGGGAGGCTTAGGTGTACCTTGCTGATTGTGTGTGTGTGTCAGAGGGGAAGAGTGTGACCACTGCAGCCCACCCTAGCTCACTCACCCTTGGAACACAGCCCACTACAGGGCAATGACGTTGGGGACAGGGGTTGAGGTAGGGGTTCGAAGGGGCAGAGGGCTATTTTCTGGTCTCTGTCCTGCCCTGCCGTTACCCCCACCCCCAAGCCATGAGCCCTAGGAATGAAACAGTCTGACTATGGGAAGGCAGGTGGGAGGTGAGGGGGCTGCATTAGGGTGGGGTGTCAGAGCCCCTCCCACCACAGGCCCCTCTCCACCCACCCACAGGTTCTACCTGTTCTTCTGCTCAGTGTGTAACCAGGGCCCAGAATACATCGAGAGGCTACCCCTGCGATGGTGAGATGATGGGGCTGGCCCAGGCGCCCCCGCCCCTCCCGGCTCCTCTCCTGCCCTGTCCCTCCAGGAACAATTCCAGTTCCAACTAACAGGTCCCAGCCTTGCCCCTGCCCTTCAGTCCTGACCCAGGAGGCTCGGGCCCTGGCTGCTGCCTCACCCTGGCCCCACCTCCTTGCCCCCTCGCCCAGGGTGGATGTGGTTCACCTGGCCCTCTACAACCTGGGGGTGCAGAGCAAGAAAAAGTACTTTGACTTTGAGGAGATCCTGGCCTTTGTCAACCACCACTGGGAGCTTCTGCAGCTCGGCAAGGTATGTAGGCCCATGGGACAGCAGAATGGCAGGAGCCCTTCCCACAGTGGGGGTCCCACGGTGCAGAGAAATGTTCCCGGGGTCACAGGGCGTGGGTTGGGATCCAGGACTCTGAGCCCTAACTCTTAGCTGCTGGCTGGGATAAAGCCCTGGAGCCTTTGAGCGGCTGTGTCCCCAAATCCACATCTCCAAGTTTGTGCCTTGCAAGGGGCTTCCGGCCCAGACTTTGACAGTGGGCTGGTTAGGACCTCACCTAACCAGCTGTACAGAAAGAACTAGGGGTCAAGTCTGGCTGGAGCAGAGCTCCCCACGGAGATAATTGACCTACAGCAGATTACCTGGCTAGGAGGAAAAGTGAGGTGGGCCTGCCCCCTGCTGGTCCTACTTTGAATAGCAGAAGTGGGCACCAGGGTCCCCCTGGACTGAAGTAACAAACTGGGACTTGCAGGATGTCAGAGGTGGAGAGTGATTTGCCCAGGACATTTGGAGCTGAGCTGGGGGCCTTCCCGACCACTCCAGTGGTGGGGCTACATCCCCTTTTTCCTTTGACACCCTTCGAATCCTCCCTCCACATCTAGAGTGAGGTGTCTTCTCTCTGCCCCAAGTCCTTCTTTGATAAGACAGGGATTAAAAAAAAGAAAAAAGGTAACCTTATGCTTTGCAAAAGTGCTTCATATAATATGTTCACTTACAGTGTTTGATAATGTATACGAGACATTCGTATTATAAAGCCCTGGAAGATAGTTAAGAACTGGTACATTTTTTAAAAAACAGCATTTTTTCCTGATTTACAACATCATTTTACATATTCCTGGTAGAACAATTTTAAAGTACCAAAAAGCATAAGGATGTACGTGTTAAAAAACCCACCCACACACCGCACAGCCTAGAAACGGCCGCTGTCCATGCGCAGATGCGTTGCCTTCCATCCTCTGTTCTCTGTGCTTTTTCTGTTATGTGGTTTAGATTATACAGTATTTCAAACCATCTTTTTCCGTTTTCGTTACATTGTAAATAATTTTTGCTACCATGGAAGGTGTTCATACACATTTTGAAGGCTGTGTGGATTTCGACCACAGTTCACTTGTATCCTTCCTGCCTGACGTTCAGTTTCTCTCCCACTTGTCCCGTCGGCCCAAACGAGAACAGGGCTGCCGTGAACATTTTTGTACACAGAGCTTTGTCCGTGTTTCATGTTCTGTCCTTACGATACAGTCCACGGAGTAGCACCACTGGGTCAAGGGCACGGTCACCTTTAAAGCTGTTGATACATTTGGGACAGGAGTGCCTCGCCCCGGTTACAGGTGGGAGCTGAGCGCAGGTGAAAAGACTCGTCTGCAGCCATGGCTAAGTCAGTGGTGCTCACCTGGAGGACTCAGGAGACTGAGGGGAGGGAGGTGTGTGGCGGAGGCCTCCTCAGACGCCATATGCCCGGGTCTGACTGTCCTGCTGGCCTGCTCCCCCTTAGCTCACCAGCACCCCCGTGACTGACCGAGGACCGCATCTCCTCAACGCGCTGAACAGTTACAAAAGCCGGTGCGTGCAGGGAAGGGAGTGCCGTGGGGCCCCCTACAGGTGGGACTTCATTCTAAAGGTTCTCCTGCCTCATAATCTGTGCTCAAGGTGTGCTCCCTGCCTGGTTCCCTGCCCCTTCTCTTTCACTGTGTAAATCCTACCTGTCCTTCAAGACCCAGGGAGCACCCCTCCCCCTTTGCGATGCTTCCCTGACCCCCCAACAGCCCACGACACACTCTTTTCTGCATCCCTGGCCTCTGAGGGTCCCTGCTGCCCTGGCCAGCCACAAGAGCTCGGGGCCAGGCGCCGAGGGATTGATTCACCGTGTCTCGGGTGGGCCGAGTGGCCTGTGGCTTGCCATCCAGACTCATCTGAGTGCCTCTCAGACACACAGCTGACGTGTCCCTCACCCCCGACCCCAGGGCATGACCAGGCTCCTTAGCACAGCATTCATGGCCCTTTATGAGACTCTGCCACGCCTTCTGCCACTGTCCCTTTGCCTTATGTATTCCAGATGTCAGCCGTTCCGAACGCTTTGCTTTCCCACACATGCTTTTGCTCACGTTCTTCGCTTTGATTCATTCGTTCCATCGACAGCTACTTATGGAACTGCTGTTCTGTGTCAGCCTGTGTAGGTGTGAGGACACAGCTAGGCAGACGTATCCACTCTCCCACCTTCTCATGGTTTGGGGCCAAGCCACAGCTCTGCTCTCGAGTCAGTGAGGCTCCTGTCCTCATGGGAACAGCCTCCGGAGGGTCAGGCTGTGTCTGTGTCACCACTGCAGCCTCATGGCCACCCAGCTGGTGTTGGGAGGATGAGGGCAGGGCCTGGATGGAGGTGCTTTCTGTCTCCTTGGGGAGAACAGAGAACAGAACGGTGCCCCACTGGGAGCTGGAGGAGGCCTTCCTCTGGGAGGTGGCCTTGGGGCTGGTTGAGGCAGAGAAAAGAGAGAGGAGCAGCGAGAGCCACACACGGGCAGTGGAGGGACAGGAAGGAACCACCGGCCAACCCTCAGCCACCGCCTGGGAGCTGGAGGAATCGGCATCTCCTGAGTTTTAGCTTTGGGTCCAGGGTGGTGGAGAGAGTAGGTTCCATGCTTGACTCTTCTCCCTGTGAGGATAGACCAACAGACTCCACAGCTTTCTCCTCCCCTGCCCACCCCACAGGTTCCTCTGCGGCAAGGAGATTAAGAAGAAGAAGTGCATCTTTCGCCTGCGAATCCGAGTCCCACCCAACCCACCAGGGAAGCTGCTGCCTGACAAGGGCCTGGTGCCCACCGAGAATGGCGCCTCCTCTGAGCTGCGTAAGAGAGGAAAGAGCAAGCCTGGGTCAGTGCCCGGGGACCCAGAGGCCAGGGCTGCAGCCGCACCCTGGATCTCTGCTTCCTGCTCCCAGCCCCAGCTGACGGGCCACGTGAGGGGCCCAGACAGTCTGCTCGTGTCCAGGCAGGCAGGGAGGACACACACCCAGCCAGCCCCCCTCGGGAGCCTCCCTGAGAGACCAGTTGCCGGCTGAGCCAGGGCTGATCCTCTGTCGTGGCTCCTTCCACAGCCCCTTATAGCCTTGCTTGGAGGAAAAGCCAGATCCGGGGACCCAGTCTTGCTGGCTGAGGGCTCAGGCAGAGAAGTCAGAGTCTAAGGAGTCTGTGGCTCTTTGGTGGAGCTGAGCCTCCTTATCCTGGGTGTGGGGGGCCAGAGTATCTGGATGCTGTGCCTGGAGAGGCACCTTCTCTGTTTTCTACCCGTGATACTGCCCTCCGTCCCCTCCCGCACCTGCTGCCCCAGAGGACCCAGTCCTCTTCCTCCCCAGGCTCCTTATGAAAGAGAGCCTGCCCCGCCTCCATGGCTGTGGCCCCGGTCCTGCCCCTGCCACCCCTCCCTCTGGGCCACGTCCTGGGCCTTCAGGCTCTGACTGGGCCACCCTCTCCCTTTTCTGTCTCCACAGTTTGTTGCCTCACGAATTCCAGCAGCAGAAAAGGCGAGTTTATAGAAGAAAAAGATCAAAGTTTTTGCTGGAAGATGCTATTCCCAGTGTTAGTTTCTTGTTTTCTTACTCTCCACGTTCACACACAGGGTCAGCACATATGAGGGAGTCCCGTGCGGAAAGCGAGTCCCCCAGGCCCAGGGGACTGTCCCACATCCCACAGAGGAGAAGCCAGCTTCTGTTACAACTAAACGAGAGAGAGCCAGGCTCCCCAAGTTCTCCCTAGACCCTGAAGAGGGATAAGGGTAGGCAGTATCCTTGTCCCCACTGTCCCGGTGGGGACACTGAGGGCCAGGGAGGAGCAGCGACCTTTCTGAAGCCACAGCCTGCACCGGGGCTCCGGAGCTGGCTCTGCGCCGTCAGTGCCTCCTTCGGGCGGCAGTTTTAGCAGAGCCTCCCACCTCCCGACATGTCACAGTTCACAGAGGCACTTCCCACCCCCCGTGCTTCCTGACACCGCTCCGAGCGAGGCACGCCAGGGGTCACCGTCCACTTTGGCAGCTGAGGCACTGAGACCCAGACGGGGGAGCGTCATGCAGTCAGTGGGCCAGAGACAGAGCCAGGACCGGAGCTAGCTGACGTGGCTCTCTGGTCAGGACTGGGGACAAGAGAAAGCCAGCGAGGAGTCTTCCCCTGGGAGGGGCCGGCCCTCAGACGCCCAGCCGCACCAGCAGGCAGCCTGTATGGCCTCAGCCAGGGTTGGAGGAGGGTGGGGATCTGATGCTCGCCGACCCACCCTCCCCTCTCCTAATCCTTCCTCTGTGTCCACAGAGTGACTTCACCTCGGCCTGGAGCACCAACCACCACCTGGCCAGCATATTTGACTTCACATTGGATGAAATTCAGAGTTTAAAAAGGTAACAGTGAGGGACCCAACAGAGATGTCCACTCTGGAGACTAGGCGGGGAGCCTACCCCACGCCCCGCTGCGGTGCAGGCAGGCTCTGGAAGTGTGAGGCTGAAGGCCTCTCGTTCACAGGACGCACGGTGCCTAAGGCTGCATGCAGGGTCTACGTCAGAGCCCACGCGCCCCTGCTGTGGTCTCCAGGGCTCCCATGGGCCGCCCCTCAGAGCAGTACCCAAGGCCAGCCTTGCCTGGGCCCTCCGACCTCTCCAACCCCTATCCTGCTTCTCCTGGCCCCACGTGCAGTACCAGAATTGCCGTGGGTACCCCCCACTCACATTCCTCCAGGAAGCCATCACTGGCCTTCCTCAGGCTGCCTTGGACACTTCCTGCACATTCCCACAGCACCCATGGGCCACCCAATGGAAAGTCTGGGTATTCCATTGTTTTATTTCTGAAATCGCTAAGGTCATCCAGTGCTTTCCTGCAGGCATGCGAGAGGCAAGGGCTTCAGCCAGGACTGGGCTCAGGCCCCTGCCCCCAGTTACTGGCTGTGTATCCTGAGCAAAATTCTTTAACCTCTGTGAACCTGCTCACCTGGCTATGAGATTCGAACAAGATACTGTGCCTTCTAAAATGAAGGCACCTTGGGCCTGTAAAGCGTTGCACAGCTGTCTGGGATCGGGCTCATCATCTTTTAATTTGTCAGGGGAGGCTTTCTTGACTCCTTGGCCTTTGGAGTCTGGGAGGGTGGGAAGTGGATGGGCAGGAGGTGGCCACCGTAGGCGTGGTGTCAGGAAGTGGGAACAGGGGCCTCTGCCGGGATGGAGGATGCACGTCAGAGGTCCCCAGGGCCGCCAAGGGCTGACGGCAGGCTCACCCTCTCCCCACCCCAGTGCCAGCTCAGGCCAGACTTTCTTCTCAGACGTGGACTCCACGGACGCCGCCAGCACCTCTGGCTCCGCCTCCACCAGCCTGTCCTACGACTCCAGGTAAGCTTCCTGGCCGTGGGCGGCCATCTGGGCTCCCGCTCTGTCATCTCCCGACCACCGGCCCTCCACCTCCCACTTCCGCGATGGGAGGCTCCTTGTGTGCATCTGCGTCTTGGGCTGAGGGCCTCCTGCGGCCGTGGGCCTGGGCCTGCGGCGCTCTGGTCTGGTCTGGACGTCCAGCCGGCTCCTCTGGCTGCTGCAGGAGGTCACGTCACATTTCTCCCCGGGCAGTTCCAAGCTCTGGGGTCGTTTGGCCAGAGGCTCTCTCATTCTGGGGGTGTCGCCTGTCTGTGCCTGACTGCAGGGTCCTGCCCCGAGGTCTCTCTCCCAGGTCTCTCAGGAAAAGAGCCATCGACTCAGCAGCCCGATGGAGAGGCACATGGCATCCTGTGGCGTGCGGGGTCTGCAGCAGGGACAGAAATCCCAGAGGCCTCGCTGAGGGCCCATTTGGCCACAGCCGGTTCTCAGCAGCGCAGGGGGTGGTGCCTCAAAGCATGTGCAGGAGTTCTTCCGAACGCGGCCTCCTTTGGTTAGACTTTGGGGTGCTGGAGGCCCCTGTGAAAGTACAATTATGTGTCTTGGGAGTTTCCTTCTGTCACCAGCCATCTCTGTCTTGGTGTCTTTCTCTGGTGTTGCCTCTATATTTTCATTTATTCCTTCCACTTCCTCCTCACTAGTTCTGAATCCAGCTGTTTCACATACCTGTGAACATGCCTCTTCTTGTGTGTCCATTTCCCGATCACCCTTGCCTCTTTCCGCTTGTGCATGCAGTGTGCATGCATGTCTGTCTCCAGTCCCGACTCTGGGGCCCGAGGGGCTTTAATCCATAACCGCCATCCTACCCCCATTTGGCTGTCTAACCGCGTGAGCCCCAGTGATGGGCAGGCCTCGTCAGCAGGGCCTCTGCCCAGAACGACTCCAGGAGGCACGAAGGATGGGGCCCAGGTGTGCGCAGGGCTGAGATGCTAAGTACACAGAACATGTGCTTTAGAGCTGGACACACCTAGGGTTGAACCCTGGCTCTTTCACTCCCCAGCTGGTGGCTTCTCCCTGGAGCCTGTTCCCTTTCTTATGGGGCTGTCACGGATTGCAGCGGGCTAATCCATGCCTGGGCCTGGCCCGGGGCCTGGTGCCCAGCAGAATGCGCAGGGAGAGGAGCTCCTGAGGGTTCTTCCACCTCATCCTCGCCTCTCTCTTCCCCTCTGGACACAGACGGACAGTGGGCAGCCGGAAGAGAAAGCTGGCAGCCACGGCGTACATGCCACTGCGGGCAAAGCGGCGGGCAGCTGAGCTGGGGGGGCACTGCCCCTCGGACAGCAGTGCAGAGGGGGCTTCAGGCCCTGAGCGGCCAGACGAAGGCATCGACAGCCACACATTTGAGAGCATCAGTGAAGATGACTCGTCCTTGTCCCACCTGAAGTCGTCCATCACTAACTACTTTGGCGCAGCTGGGCGGTTAGCCTGTGGGGAGAAGTACCAGGTGTTGGCTCGTCGGGTCACACCTGAGGGCAAGGTTCAGTACCTGGTGGAGTGGGAAGGGACCACCCCTTACTGACCAGCCCTCAGGGGATGCCAGGAGCCCTGGGAAGCAAAGAGGGGACAGTGGAAGCCACAGGCTCCCTGGTTCTCTTCAGGGTGGGGTGGGGGAGGGAGGCAAGACCGAGCTGCAAGTGCCCGGCACAGCCCTGCCCCCCACACCTTCCAGGCCAAGGTCTGCGCCTCACTGCTGCGCCCATTCTGCCCTCCGGCTGCTTCAGGCTCATCGCCCCTTTGCCTGTGTCTCTAAGGTCCCCGCGTCTCCACACCCTCCCCACTCCCTCCAGCTGCTCACCTGTTCCTCTAAACATGTGTTCCCTTGGCCCTGGCACCCTTTTTCCTGAAGCCCAAGTGTGTCTTTGTCCCCAACTTTGTGTCACTTACCTCTTGACCCTTTGGGGGTGTTTAGACACCCTCCACATGCACACTGTCCCGCCCATCTGACTCATGGGGCAGCCAGTGCCCCGAGGACCACCTGTGAGAACAGGAACCTCTGAGGAAGAATGTGTGAAGGTGCGTGAGGGGCGCTCTCGGGGCTCCCCCCCACTTTCCTGCCCCCACCCCTGCACCCCCCAGCCCTGGAAAAGAGGGTGAGGGTAGCAGGCCTCCATGAAAGCCTGGGTGGTGCAGCCCCCACAACTCTCAGGAGCTGAGGTGTGAAGAGGCTGGGTCTGCACCTCCAGGTACCAACACCGGAGCCCAACTGTCAAGGCTCAGAGTGAGGGCTGCAGTGTCAGCTTCCAGGTCCTGGTTTCCCTTTGCTTGGCCACACCCCTCCTAGTGACCCTGGAGCTGGGCCTGGCCTTGCAGGAATAGAGGTGGCCTTGAAAACCTGAGGCACAGGGAGAGCGAGTGGGAGGAAAGGCAGGCATTTTGTGCCAAACCTCAGACTTTCCCACACCTGCCACCCCAGAGCACTGCATGTGTAGCCAAAGGCAGGTCCCTCACACAGAAGCTTCTGTCCATACATACTCTCACTCTGGGCACAAACATTTGGCCCCTGGTCTCCAGGCGTGTACACACACACACACACACTGTCCCTCCAGTGACATCCTGCCCTTGTCTCCCTTGCTGCCCCCCTTCCAGGGACCATGCGCTGCAACAAAATGTGAAAGTCCAGCCCCTGCCCCTCCCTCAGCCCATGAACCAGAGCTGGACTAGCCCTGACCCCGCCGGCACAGGGACGTGCCCGCTGGCTCCTCTGCCTTATTCCTTGCCCCACCCTGAAATGACAATCACTTTTTGGGACAGGTTGGGAGTGTTAAGGGCCTGCGTCACTTATTCCCCTCAAAGGGAAGCCCTTGTCAGTGGGATATAAATAGAATGCTTAGAGCCAACATTAAAACTCATACCCATCTGGAGGGAAACCAAAAATGGGAGGGGGGCTCCTCATTTTAGCTGCTTCCAGAAATGTTAGAAACTGACTTGATTGAAAAATGGAAAAAAGTGCCTTGATGGGGGGGCGGGGTGTGCACCAGATGGGGACCAGCCCTGCCAAGTGCTGCTGGGGCCTCCGGCTTGGCTGGGATCTGCAGCCTGCCAGCTGCAAGGCGAAGGCGGATGAACAGTGAGGGGCTGGTTACCGTTGTAGCCTGGCCCCTGCCACCTGGCAGCCTTCAGGGGCTCCCTGCGGCTGTTCAGACGCCCCTTGCCTTCAGCCTCAGCTCCCACAGTGCCTTTCCAATGGGACCCCACTTCCTGTGCTCAGCCCTCCCACTTCCCTTTGCTTCCCTGGCGTGGACCAGACAGGGATGCGTTGGGCCCAGCGCTCCCCCTTCCCAGCCCCACAGCTGCTGCCACCAAATCCCCCAACTGGGGCTGGGTGGAAGGGGAGCTGAGAAGGTGGCCCCCAGCCCAGCAGGGGTGTAGCCTGGGGTCCATCCTGTGGCTTGCTGCCTGGCTCCAGAGAGCACCGCAACCTCCTGGGCCTGCTCTCCAGTCTCCTGAGAAAGAACAGGCCCAGCAAGGCAGTCGCTGTGTACCTGCATCTCTGTCTCCAATGCTTGGGCTCCGGAGAGGCTCCTGGCTTAAAGAGGGGGGAGGGGAGGGTGCCTTCCCCTCTGGCGAAGTGAGAAGTGAGCATAAGGCCTGGCGAGGTCGCGGGACTGGGCCCCCCAGCACTTCGTACTGGATCATAGCTGCGTTACTGCCACCTGACCTTATGATAATCCTGTGCACCTTCTAAGAGTTATGGTTTTGAATTGCTGCTTTAATAACATTTGTTATATTAAAGTTTAATTAATGTGTCTGATTTTGAAAAGTGGCCTGTCTTCCCCCACCCCAGTGAACTTCCTGCAGTTGGGCAGCAGGAGGCCTTGGCTTGGGTTTCTCGTCCTGGTTCCCTGGAAACGGAGGAGTGGCGGGACCCACCCGCCCCTGGCCACCCTGCCACTCCCACCACTGCCTGGGCGTTCTCCGGGCAGTGACCTCACCCTTCCCACCGAGAGGATGAGGAGCCTCTTTCCACTGTGAGTGCCTGACCCACGGGGGCAGGGAACAGTCGCTGAGGGCCGCAGAGTGGTAATAAAGGATGGGGGTGATCTCAGAAGTTGACCCTGTGCAATCCCGTGAGTACAGGCGCTACGTGACTGGTCGGCGCGCCAGCGGCACAGCCCCGGAAACCTGTGGTGCGCGCCAGGCCCCCTGGGGGGCAGGGGCACCACTTTGATCCGAGTCCTTCGCTCCAGTTCCCTTCCCTGTCACGTGGCAGAGCTATCCCCTGCCTTCCGTTCCCCGGGGGATTGAGAAGGAACCCTTTCACACAGAAATGCCTGGCTGAGGACTTTAGATAAACGTTACATTTCTGGCAGTTTGGAGAGAGAAATAAATGTGAAGGGGCAGGAAAAAATTAGCGATAGAGGGATGAACGCAAAGGCTCTAAACTAAATTCTGGAGTTTCAGGGGAGAAGTGAGGCCTGTTAATCTCTGGAAGTGTTCACGTCTGCCCCTAAAAATATTAGCTATGGCTCCCATGTTTATCTTCCATTCCTTCTATTTTAACCTTTTCTTTAAGTCCTCTCAAAAATATGTTGATTTTAGAGAAGAGGGAGGAAGAGAAACAGGATTGGTTGCCTCCTGTATGTGCCCTGACAGGGGATCGAACCTGCAACATTCTGGTGTACGGGATGATGCTCCAACCAGCTGAGCCACCTAGCCAGGGTCGTTTTCAACCTTTTAACTGACCTTGGAACAAAACCACCATTGGAGCTGGGTGGAGGGTGAGGGCGGAGTGCAGGGATTGTTCTTTGGGCTGAAATCAGTGGACTGGAATGAAAGTGAATGGCATGAGGTGTCTAGAGACCTGGGTGGTAGTCCAAGTTCTACAGCGAGCAGCTAAAAAGGCCCTTCTGAGGACAGCAGTCCTTCCCAGGCTGCAGAGGGCCTGGTTCTTGGTGGTCTGGGTTAGTGTTTACAAAGGCACAAGTACTAACCTTTGGAATTTAGGAGCAAGAAATTAGCATTCTCAGAAAACCCCTGAATCATTAAGTTATTCTTAAAATAGTTTACACTCTTTCCTTCTTATTATAGGTAGCTGGAAATTTCTTGTTTAACAAATAGGGATACTAAGCTTAGTTATACAGTATTTACAAAGAACCGGAGCCTAGAGGGAATATTTCAATACTGGAAAATGCCAGGGAATGTTATTGGATAATATTCAAATAATGCAACATTCAAGGATCCTAGCAAGGTTAACAGTACAAGAATCACGTGTCAAAACCACCAAATCAAGAACTATTTTGCTTCCAATGCTTACTTCTTGGAATATGGCTCATAGGATTTGTATAAAGCACACTGTGTATGAACTTATTTTATTTGCAAGAACAGCTCATGGTTTGCAGCGTATGGGGCTACAGACACACCCCTCTCACGTAACATCACGAGCAAGACCGGCCAGGCAGTAAGCCTTTCTCTCCCACGTGCTCCTGCCTCGGCTCTCCTGACCCTCACCTCGGCATGCTAGCACTCCCTGCTTATTTCTTATTTGATGGAGTCCTTTAAACCAGTCATGTCTCTATGCTTTTAAGCTTTAGTATTCACGGATGATTTTAATATTTTTTCTCATTTCCTCAACTGATTTTTCTGGGGATCCCAGAGTCAAAAACACACACTTCCTGAGAGACGCTGGGAAGGCGTTCCCGTGTGGGAACACTAGTCCAGGTCCTGGCCTGGCTCCCACGGCGCCACTCGGGGAGGACAGCGCGGCACTAGTCACACCATGGACGTTGGAGTCACACAGACCCTGAAATCACTGCACTCCTCTGAATCAGTCCTCCTGTTTACAGAATGAGGATACTATCCCTAACCTCCAGATCTGTGGGGAGAAGTAAACAGTACGATGCATTTTTAAGTGCCAGACCGACTTACTGCGCAGATGGTTTACAAACGCAGAAGTCGTTCCTTAGAGCAGGCGGCGGCAGGCTGTCTGGGTCTCTGGTCTCCATAAGGGTATTGCCCGACCTCTCTGACAGAGGCAGTGAAGAGCATCGATTTAGAATCAGAGGTTTGGGGTCAGGGCCTAGCTGCTGCTTATTTCAAGTGTCTTATGTCTTCTGATCTCTGGTTGCATTTGCAAAATGAAAACACTAAGTTATAGAGATAAAACAGTGTTAAGGACCTGAGCACAGTATCTGGTAGAGAGAGCTGGGGCTCTGCCCCCTCTTCTTCTAATTCCTGTAAGTCACCGCAGCCAAGAAAGGCCACCAAGAAGCAGTCTTCAATACAAAGAACAGAAAATGACCCAATAAAGGCCACCGGTAGAAATTTGGAATAATTTGAAATTTGGAAGAAAGTTCATGGAAAAAAAGTAGAGTTTTATCAATTCCATAAATTAGAAAGTAACTGTAGACTGTGGAAAAAGCTTCAGTTATTCAAATCCTTGAAACATCAATTTGGGAAATATTTGCTAAGTCCTGTGCAAGAGATCAAATAGACTGGGACCTGTCCCTGACCTGGAGCAGCACAGTCCAGAAGTACGAGGCTGAGCGACACACAAGGACAGCAGGAGCACCGGAGCAGGAGAGGTTCCTCCGGCCAAGGAGCCAGGCCTCGAGAAGCAGCAGCCACATGTCACCTACAGGCGTGTGGACGGACTCCTTGGGCAGAGGGCGTGGCCTGAACCCAGGACAACGTGTCATAACTTAGTGGTGCAGCTACTTGCCAGAGTAGGAGAGGAGGGGTAGGTGAGGATGAAAGAGTGGGGTGGGGCAAGGTTGTAACGGGCCTTGAAAACCAGACCAAGAAGCTGGACTTTACCCTGAAAGCAACACGGACAGTCCATCTGAGGTCCCCTGCATATTTGCGGTCAAGTTGATGTCACACAAGATTTTTCTTACCTATCAGAACCATCTGTTGTGAAAAGGGACACCACCATCATCATTCTCTTTGTTCTTCTCTTGGAGGAGCCCGCCACCATCCCCACTGGCCTAGAGAAGAGTCCTCTCTGGACCCTGGGAAGGGTCTCAGCCTGAACCCCGACAAAGCTTTCACAGAAGAGCCCTGGGAAACGCCCCCACCACACCCCCGTTTTCATGTTCGGAGGAACTAAGGTCCAGGAACAGGAGGTATCAGAACTAGAGCCTGGTGCCACCCCTCCCACACACCATTCCCTCTGGAGGAAGGGCCGCTACCGCAGACGTCTGCAGACCATCAGGGGACCCTCACCCCAACTGCCCACGGAGTGGAGTTACCTTATGAGGGATTCCTGGAGGAACCTAGGTTAAGTTTCTCTCCTCACCCTACAGGGAGCTCAGCCTCCCCTGCCCTCCTCCACGGGCACCGTGGGGCAGGTATGGGGCAGCACCAGATGCAGGTGAGCAGCCTTGGCTGCCCCTTTAGTAACAACATACCCGCTTCCTAGACCTCTGTGTAGTTCAGTTTTCTCTAGCCCTCTACACAGAGACTGGCTTAGACCCTGGTTTACAACTTTTAACAAAGAAAACTTTTAAAAAATCTTACAAATCTCACTAGATAGCTCAATACATTAAAATAGTAAAAGTACAGTTGCATGGCTAAAGTATTGGCAGGGGGCAGGCAGTCCCAGCACCTTCTGTCAACCCTGGGGGTGCTCTGTGGAGCAAGTCCGAAAAACACAGGCCTAGAAGTTCCCCAGGGTTCTTTCCTACGTTAGGATCCTCAGTTTTAATGCTCAAGTAAAAATGGTTAGTATGGTGGGCTCAGAGCCTATGTCTCCACTGAGCAAGGCACCGGAACCTTCTGAGGTCTGCCATATTCAGCTTAGAAAGAGGCAAGACCCATTCCCAACTGATGAGGCTGCATCTAAGCACCGCTGTTCCCCTAGTCCTGCACAAACTCCTGAAGCCCATCCGCAGGCCCACTCCTCCGGGCTCAGGGATAACGAACACCATCCGTAGCTAGGAGAAAGAATCCTGCTTGTCCCTGATATTGTACCATTCACAATCCATCCTCTGAATACAGAAAGTGCTTGCCAGTTCCTCTAGGAGGAGACATTCATTCACCCCACACCCTTGTAGGTAAACGGGTCATTGGTTCTATTCTTCCTCCTGAGAACCAGGAGAGTAATTCCACCCTAGACACTCGAGGTAAGCCCAGAGACTGCTGAAGACGACAAACTTCACCCTCACTGCCACCCCTCCCTGTCCCCTACACAAAACCACCCTTGCTCTCCCACACCCTGGACACGTTTAAGGGTGAAGCACTCAGAGACAAGTTCCAGCGGGCTTTTGCTTAGCCTGACTGGCCCAGCCTCCTCTTCTAGCCTCAGAAGCCTTGGACCTTCAACGTCCACAAGTTATTTAGCTCCTCTATGCTGACAAAAACACGGAATCCAGAGACGCTAGGAGGCCGAAAGAGGCCTCCCTTCCCCAGAGCGCAGCGGGTGAAGGCCAGAGGCAGCCAGCAGGATTCACAGAGAGCCTCTCGCTCTCAGTCCTCCTCCATGCCCTCCTTCAGCCACTTCAAATAGTGCACGTCTCCTTGGTCCATGGGAAGACTGAAGATCTCTGGGATTTCAAAAGGATGCACCAACCTTTGGAAAGAAAGCAGAGTCCTGTGAGTGACTATGATCAGAATGAGCCCGTGCGATAAAACCCCACAGGCCAGCCTCACTCAAGGCCCACCTTGAGATCTGCAATCTGCTGCGGCCCACCTGTCCAACTCCATGACCCACCACCCCTGAGCCCATGTTTTCCATCTGTCCGAGTGGGAATACGTGGCTATACCCTGGTCTCAGAACTAGCAGGAGAGAAGGGCCAGATGGCTTTCGAGTCTCACAGTCATGGGTTCAAATGCTAAGTCTGTCCCTTCCTAGCTGTGTGACTGTGGACAAATTACTTAATTTCTCTGAACACCTTATAAAAGAGGGAATGGAAACATGCCTGGACTGCTAAAGATGAAATAAGATAAAGTATATAAAGCACTGACCTGGTGCACTGACTGGTACCGGATGCATTCACTGAACGTTAGCTACTATCTTCACTGCCATCCCGCACTCCCCACGCGGGTGTATTCTCTCCTTCACCTGGCAAGTTCTCCCTGCTCCTGTTCATCAGTCAAAAACCTCTCTCTCCTGCAAGGCCAAAATCAGCCATTGACTTCTTCAAGGGATCCTCCTCGACCATCCAAACCCACGGGACTCCCTCTCCCTTCTCCCCATATCTTCCGCCTGGCCCTCGGCACACAACGCCACATTTTCTTCATTTTCCAGACCGAAGAAACACAGGGCCTGGGGCTTCAGTTTCCCACCTGTCAAAAGGGAGCAGTAGCCCCTTTCCGGGTGAGGCACTGTGAAGTTCTCACGAGACAGCACGCATCACCACCTGTGTATAGGTAGGGGCCTCAACACTGAGAGTGAGCTGGGTAATTTTACCCAGTGCCCCAGGATAATGAATTTTCTTATTTCACGGACGCCTGGACCAGTGTATGTGCTGTATAAGCAGACATACAGTATTCAGACATAGAGAGGGAGACATCTGTAACACGTTAGCAGTAACAGCTGCCTATGACATGGCACTTGATGTGTACACGTCACGTAAATTCATCCCAAAGCACTAGTATGACCCGCATTTTATAGATGGTCAACTGAGACACAAAAAGTCTAACCAATTTGCATGCACACGGGCTACAATTAGCAAGTAGAGAAGCCAGGATTTGACCCTGGAGGTTAAGCTCTAAGGTTCACCATCTTACACCTGCAGCTGACCCTCACTGACTGTAAATTCTTGGTCCTGCTAGTTTCACCAAAGGTGCCTTCATTCCCACACCTCTGCTAAGGTGGTAACACAGGGCCTTATGTCCTACTAGACCTGAGACCACGGTATAGCCACATATTTCCAGAATCCTGACTGGAATGAAGGAAAAGGGTTTTATCATCCAGAAGGGCGACTTGCATCCCTAGCTGCACATTAGAGTCAGTCAGGTGCTTCTGAAGAACGTATTTGATCCCCCACCCAGATAAATTAAGTCAAAGTCTGAAGTAGGGCCTAAAGTGGTCATTGAAACCCATTAAAAAAATCTCCAAGCAATTATAGTATTAGCCAACATCAAGAATCACTAGTTTAATTTATTTAATTATTAACATGGTGGAGAGGGTCTCAATTTATCTCTCTAGTAATAAAGACATATTTCATTTATTTATTTTTAGAGAGAGGGGAAGGGAAGGAGAAAAAGTGGGAGAGAAACATCAATGTGTGGTTGCCTCTTGTGTCCCCCCTACTGGGGACCTGGCCTGCAACCCAGGCATGTACCTTAACTGGGAATCGAACAGGTGACCCTTTGGTTCACAGGCCCATGCTCAATCCACTGAGCTACACCAGCCAGGACAGGAATCACTAGTTTAGACTGGTACTGCTCGAGCTTTTAACGTGCATGGGAATCACCTGGGGATCATGTTAAGCTGAAGCCTGGTTGGGTAGGAGACCGTGACACCCTGCCGTTCTAGCAAACTTCCAGGAGATGCCCATTATTCCAAAATCACACTTTGAATGGGAAGGCTTTACACCGGCAGTTCTCCACATTGACTCCCCGGGGAACTCCAAGATTCCCTCAGGAGGTCCCGGAGGCCAAAACCATTTCATAACGCGGCTGATGTGTTATTTATCTCTTCCTATGGCGACATTTGCACTACTGGTGCAAAAGCAATGAAGGGTGAAGCGCCGGCACATTTGCACGTGTCGGGACCGCGGCGCCACCCTGCGGGAGCCGTCGCTACTGTCCACCACACACCTGCCTTGGCAGCAGGCCAAGTTCACTGCAGGACAGCCCTGACAACGTGGTAAGAGAACTATTTTTAGTAAATTTCAACCCCTGAGTATGTCTTTTGAATACTGTGTCACAGAGTGGGGAGTACACATAAGGCACTTTGCTGATGCCCAAATTCAGTGGTGCCTTAACCTTGTCTGACTGTTCGAGTCACAAGCTAAAGCTAGATTTTTTTCGTGGAACACCATTTTTAAGCCTGAGTTCCAATAATTGGTCACTTTTACAAATTATGGTTACTCGGATTTGAGAATTAGGTAGACATTTTTTAATACATGAGCACAGCGAGTCCATCATTCAGGTGAAAACAACTTAAATCATTTGCTGCCAATGAAAAAAATTATGTTTTCAAGCAAAAATTAGATATTTGTAAAAGTTGAATTTATCACCATGAGCTTTAAGAGTGTCCCAACATTTAAAGATGCTTCTTACTAAGCCAGATTTTGCAAAAACGTAAAATGATGCCATTCTTCTCACTTTGGGGGGTGGGGTGGGAGATATGGTTACTTTCTGTAGACATGTATTATTTAAAACATTATTATGTAATGGTAATAATAATGGTTTATTATTGTTGTTTTTAATTTTTTAAGTTCTCAGTTTTAATTTCCGATACAGTAAACTTTGATATAACCCACATAAACAAAGCTCTTTAAGGTCCTCAGTAATTTTTTAAAGTGCATAGGGCTTCAGAGACCAAAATTTTGAGAACCACTGGTGTGAACTAACTCATTCTAGCCTCTCATTTTACATATGGAGAATCTGAGGGATGGGGCATGTCCAGGATCACATAGAAGGTTGGTGACAAGGTTTCCTGCTTGTCGGGCTCATTCACTCAGTCCCTACAGAACACTCCTGGTGGAGAAGAGACACCAGCATTACCTGACATAACTGGACAGAATGTGGACCTTGGAAGTCTTTGTCTTTATTAACTGTAACAGAAAAGAAAAATCACTGCTTTAGGATGTCAGCCCAGCTCTGCCGCTGCTGGCTCGCCTGGCCTTTTAGGAGACAGCGTTCCCTCCAGGTCCCTGGCCCTGTCGCCAGCTCCCAGATGACCTAAGACATCTTCTTTGGGGCTAGAACCTCAATCAGTTGATCCTTGCTAATGTTTCACTGGAATCTGGGAAAAAGGCCTTGGTCTTCCTTGGGCTTCCTCTCTCAAGGCCCCGCCCCTCCCCCCGCCTCGCCTGGCTCACCAACAGAATCTCCGTGGCTTCTTCTATTTCTCCATTCCAGAAGTAGCTGGAGAAGAGAACAAAACCAAATCACAAAGCTCATAAAACAGGCCCCAGGGAAATGTCACACCTGGCCCAGTTAGGTGACTCACTGAGATGGAAACTTGAGAATCTTCCCCAGTCCACATAGAGGTCATCCAGGGCAACCATTCTAATGCATGCTTTTAGCATCCGCCTGAACATTCCTGGAGGCGAGAGGCTCACCATTTCTTGAAGAAGTCCACCTCCCTTATAGGTCTACACCTATGAGGTGGTTTTTCTTCTGGTGTGGCCAGCCCTGCCTCCCAGTTGTCTTCCCCAGTTTCCGCATGAAGAACCACCACAGGAAAGCCCTGCGGAAACTCCTGTGTTTTCTCACCTCCAAACTGGGCGTGGCGGGCTCTTTCAACACTCATTGTATGCCCATCGCTTCCAGGCCCCTCCCCATCCCCCAAAGGAGCGGTGCTGCTTTTATCACCGACTCTGCAAGCTGAGTGCTCAGGAAAGGATACATAAAAAGTGCGGGAGGCTTCAGGGAAGCAGTGAGCTTCACAAGACATGAAAACGGGTCCAAAAGTTAAAAGTCAGTGATAGTGTTCACAAAAGAGTGTGAGAACAGCATCCCGTGAAGAGAAGGGAAAGACATGTGGCCTGCGAATACAGTGTTCCCACAGTTTAGGAACAGTGACCCTTGCTGGCACATTCTTTGTGCAGCGACTGCGCTGCCCCTGGGCAGGTCTAAGATGACCTGGGCCATGGGCCTTGTCTCACAGAGCCGCGGTAAAAGGATCAATATAGGCCACCAGAAGGAAATGCTAGGCCGAAATTCTATTCTAGGGCCCAAGCATTGGTTCCCAGACTGCCTTAGATGTGAATCACCTACACAACTTTAAAAAAATTCCGAGACCCAAGCCCCACCCTCGGGGAGACTGATTGGGCAGGCTTAGAATGGAGCTCAGGAACCCACCGCACAGCCGCATCTGGGAGCCACAGCCACAGACCGTGTGAGCCGCTGAGGCAGTGACGCTGCTGGCAGGCAGGTGGGGGGGAGCGTTCCCTACAGAACGTTCTTCTGTTTTGACCTTCAGAGTAGATATTATTTCCCTCCGCAACCACCCCACCCCCGTTCTCTCATTCTCTCTCTCTTTCCGGGAGGGAAGATGAGAATCAGGCTGATCAGGGGAACTGAGTCACAAGGCAAACCCTGCACCACTTGGAGTGGGATGCTAAAATAAAAATATTCTGGTGGGCTGAGAGAAAGGGCGCAGGCCAGGCTTAGCCTCGATGAAGCTGTCAACACAGTGCAGCCTGTCACGTATGCCAACGTCTCGGTCTTCCAAAGAACCTAAACAATGGAAATGATTTTCTTTGATATCCCTAGTTGGCTTACTCAGGGAAGGACTGCCCAGTCTGGCTTGTGTGCTAAAAGCAAAGTAACGGATTTAAATAAAGACCGTGCAAACAAGATTCACTATTCCTACACTATAGGGTTTTTTCCTCCTTTCTCTATACGCAGCACATTTTTGCTTTTATTCACGGATGACATAAACCCACTGGTTAATTTCCTCTGAGTACAAATCAACAGTGGATTAATTAAATGCCTCTGAATTGTTCTTTCAGGATTCCCTATCAGTGCAGGGCCCTTTGCACCAGCCAGGACCTGACCCGCAGCGCTCCCACACCCCTCCAGAGGCCGCCGCAGAACTCACAGTGAGGATGCCTCAGACAGGATGTTCACCGAGGCAGCCAGCTTCTTACCCAGCACAGCCCTAAAGCAAAGAAAGGGGCAGTCAGTGGGGCTAAGGGCCAGGACCTGAAGAGAAGGGACAGGGGACAGGAGTTCCTAGGAACCAGAGGATAATTTAGAGTGCGCCTCCTCTTGGCAGTTTGAAGGATAGGCCCAGTTTGCCTAGGGAATGGGGATTAACTCTGGACAGAGAACAAGAAGACCTGGATTCCTGGCCCTGCAGTAGCGTGGCTATGCGCCCTTACACATCCAAGATAGGCGTGTCCCCTCACCCGCCCTGACTCTCCTGCTGTGTAAAGAGAAAATGGTTCGACCAGCAGCTCCCAAGCCTCTTCACCAACAAGAGCTCCTTTTGTTATCCATTTCTGCTTTTTTCATACAAGATCTTCTGATCTGTAGACACCCATGTGACCACACAGCTCCAAGTGAAAGTGAGGAAAGAATCATAACTGGTGTCTGTCTTTGGCAAATATAGGCTCTTTTCACCTTCTCCGGTAAAGGCTTCTTTCATAGCTCTAGGAGCACACAATCTCCATCTCTGCAGACCTCTAAGATATTTTTGTTTTGACAGACTGCAGCTTGGCATCCCCGGTCTGACCATCTCAGAGTCCTGTGAAGCACTCTGGTGAACACAGTCAAAGAGGCTTGAACTAGTGTGGGTGCCATAGAGAGAGAAGAACCACCAAGTCATCGAGCTGTTGATGCCAAGAACTGTTCCCACAAACCAAAACCTCCAGCCCTCAGAGTCAGGCCCTGACAAACCTTTCTCAAGACCTTGCCAGATAAACCTCACTTGAGCCTTGCTCACTGATCCCTCCTTCCTCCAGCTGCTGCCAAGAGAACTGACCTACTTTCTCCTCCCTTGAGCTCCAGGCTGAACAGTGCTCTCTATTTAAGGCTCCGCATTAATGGGGCATCAACACCACCCTCGTTCCCTTGCAGAGCTGGAGGAGATAAATAAATCCCTGACTGGAAGGAAAGGCACACGGCACACGTTTGCTTAAGCAACTGCTGCGAGTCCTGCTCACTCGATCACTTGCTGAGCAATTACATTTGACTGGTTCCAAAGATGGCAGGCAAACAGCAAGTGAGTTAAACCTCCAGGAGAAACAATCTGTTGCCTCAGAGTCATGTGGCTAAAGACCCCAATTCCGACTTTCTGTCCAATTTGGTAGGCCGAACATACCACTTAGCCATGTCAGAACACAGTAAGGAGAACCCTTTCTGTACCAGCAACTGTGAGGAGGCCTCAAAGAACAAAAGGCGGCCCGGGACACAGAGGGGAGCACGCAGGGGACCGCCCACACAGACAGAGCAGCCGGCTGTCTCGGGAGGCAATGGGAACCACAGCAGGCAGGAACTTGGAGGCGACCGTCACAGTGAACTGCGGGAATGCCGTGGCAGAGCAGGTGGGTGCCCCACATCTCCCGTGGGCCAGGCAGCAGTGATGGGGTATATGTCTCCAGGAAGGAGGAATAGGGCTAGGCACTCTGGGGAAAAGGGCAAAACAGTGTCCTAGTAGCTGGAGACAGGGGTGAAAGGAAGAATTCATGCCCAGGAGACCAGTTACTAGGGTGCCCCAATCTGTAGAATGTCCCCCCAAACCACACTCATACTGAAAACAGTTCTGCTAATCCCAACTCCTTGCAGCTGTTCCTGCACCTCCCCACAAGCACAGCGGAAAAAGAGGAGAGGTTACAGTTAAGAATAACAAAGTATGCATTTGAGGAGTATCAACAGTGGGAGACAAAAATTCAACAAACAAAAGAGTTTATGTAAGAGGATCGGTCAACAGTACATTCAAAACCAAGATTTTAAAATAAGTATAATTACGTATACCTGAAAGTTGTTATGAGAGATCTTAAAAGTTCTCACCCCCCCCAAAAAAAGGAAGCTGTGTGAAGTGACAGAGGTGTTAACTAACCGTATTGTGGTGATCATTTTGCTATACACATACATCAAATCATCATTGGTACACCTTACACTTACACAATATTATATGTCAATTATATCTCAATAAAGCTGGAAAAAATAAAAAATATAGGTATTTATATTATACTTATACAGAAAGATAAGGCAGTATTATTGCATCCATAAAACAGAATCATATTATAATACAATCAGACATTTAAGCAACATGAGTAGTTGGTTATGAAAGAATGATTAGAAATCTTGAAAAGGGAAACCACATTGTTTAAACAAAAAATTCAATGGAAGGCCCGAATAGTAACAAATGAAAAACAAATAAGAGAGAAGAATGGGCTCAGAAATTCTCCCAGTATGCAGAATAAGGGAATAGAAAAATATAAAAGCTCAGTCATAGGGAACTAATTCAACCTTCTTCTAATAGGAGTTCTAAAAAAAGACATATGAAGAATAGAGAAAGAATATTTAGCAAGTTAGTAACTGAGCATTAAGATAAAGAGAAAATGCTAAAAATTACCATAGAGAAAAAGTATTACCTACAAATAAATGAGAGACCCTGATAAACACCTGACTTCTCATTAACAACCTTAGATGCAAGAAGATAATAGAGACCTCCCTCTGATCAGACACTGATTCCATTTACCCGAACTGGACTTTCTACCAGTTAGAATCCAGGCATTAGAATCGATTTCCTCCCAACACCAAACCTCACAGATGTCAGTTGAAGTTCCTCCTCAGCAGGACCTACTGTGGCTGATCCAAAGGTCCAGAGAAAAAACAGTTCAGTTCAGACCCTGGGCATATGAGGGGCATCAGGAGGGATTTCAGTTCTTAGCTGCTAGACACTATGGCTGTATCTCTGAAGTATTACAGGTTCTTTTAGATAACAGCTGTTCTCCAAAGGTAATGTTAGCATGGCAAAAATTACATTCTGGTTGGAGGGAAGAAAGATGGAATCAAATGCAAGGTTAACCCATGACCAAGAATTTAGAGGGTGTATGCTCCCAAAGACCAGATTCAATGCTTGAAAACACTATAACCTAGTCTATCATCCACTTCAAGAATGCTGAGCTATGGAGCAAGAAACCAAATGCCTTACCCTCCAGCCCCTAACCCTCTTCAAAGCTGTATCTATAAAGATAAATGAAGGAGGGGAAATTTGGTTACCACAAACATTTACTGAACACCTACTACATTCAAGTTACTAGGGTAAGGACTGTACATATTTCATATCATTAAATCCTCCCCATCCTGTGAGGTAGGTGACATTATCCTACATTATAATTCAGGGAACTTAGAGAGGGGAAGTGACTTGCTCCAGTTAACACAGTAAGTGGTAGAGCCAAGATTCAAATGCTGGTCTGTTTACAAGTCCAGTGCTCCTTCCACTATACAACAGCCACTTTTACAAATTTTCTAAATATTTGGAACGACCACTTCCTCCTTCTCACCTGTCACAGCGAACTGCTGGGACTGAGCAAAGAGATTATCTCCAAGGAGAAAAAGAGATGGACCAGGAATCAGGAGACTTAAAATTCTCAACAGGTAGGATCCTGCTTTCTCTTATCTTAAAACCCTGGGTAAGCCACCTGTCCCTCTGGGTCTCATATGCCTTATATGCCCCCATGCTCAACATTTCCAGGCCAGCAGCAGGTTCCACAGGATCACTCGGCTGTGCTCCTCATATCACCCCAAGCAGACAGCTGTGCAGTTCATCCCTGGATGGACAGGGTTGCCAGGTCCCGCTGGAGCATCCTGGTAGCTCCCTGAGCCTCCTGGGGCAGCACCTAAGCCCCTTTTCCATACCTGGCAATATCTCTGGCAATTTGCTCGTTGGGACAGTTGACAAAGACGACGGAATAAGTGCCGGAGACAAAACTGCCAGTGACAGCTGAATGGAGCTGCAGGCTAAGGGTCCTGATCAGGGGGTATGTCAGGAGAGAGGCTGTCAGGATCTAAACGGTGGGAGAAAGCACAAGTCAGCAGTGACATGGCCATTCATTATCTGCCTCCTCAAAGCAGACTGGCACCAAGGCTGGGCGTCATTTTTTCATGCCCATTCCCCATCCAAAAAATAATTCCTGAGATCTTGAGCTTTAGTACTTCAATGAAGTTCTCATGCCTGGATATTTTCCTCTGCATTTTGCAGATGATCAAAAACAGAGGCTCAGAAATCAAGAAGCTCACTCTAAATCACACAGCTTTTATTCGGTGAAGCCAGGATTAGGACTCAAGTCTGGGTGACATGATATCCATTCTTTTTTGTTTTTTTACTTCCTTATATCCATTCTTATGTATTTTATTAATGTATTTATTTTAGAGAGAGGGTAAGGAATAGACAGAGAGGGAGTGAAACATCAATGTGTGGTTGCCTCTTGTGTGTCCCACACTGGAGACCTGGCCCACAACCCAGGCATGTGCCCTGAATGGGAATCAAAGCAGTAACCCTTTGCTTTGCAGGCCTGTGCTCAATCCACTGAGCTATACCAGCCAGGCCATTTGAAATCCATTTTTTAAAAAAATATTTTATTTATTTATTTTTAGAGGGCAAGGGAAGGGGAGAAGGGAAGGAGAGAGAGAGAGAAATATCAATGTATGGTTGTTTCTCGTGTATCCCCTGCTGGGAACTGGCCTGCAACCCAGGCGTGTGCCCTGACTGAGAATCGAACGTGATCCTTTGGTTTGCAGGCCCGCGCTCAATCCACTGAGCTACATCAGCCAGGGCTTGAAATCCATTCTTATGGAGGTAACACTAACTGGCCCACAATGAACTGCTATCATCCTGTGGAGATTATAATGAATGATAAACTCTTACATCTAATGATGTTTGAGGAGTTAATTTCACCTCCATTCATTTGCATATGTGCCAGGCACTGTGGGTGAGCTAGAGGAAAAGGTAGCCTACTTCTAAAGCAATGCCACCTGTGCTACTGAAACAGAGAGCTGAGGGCACCATGAGGAAGGCTCCCAAAGGTACCGTCTAAGTTAGATCTGAAACTGTAAGTAGGATCACAAGAGGAGAGGGAGACATGCTAAGCAAATGATAATATGCACAAGCCCAAGAGGTATTTGGGGATAGACCAGATACACAGTCTGCATGGGTCTCTCTCGGTCTGGGTGTGAGATCGGGAGGAAATGAAACTGACTACAACTGTAAAGAAAAGGGTCAGGCTAAGGAGTATGGAGCTAAACCTCAAGTGAGAGGGTACTTTTGGAGGTTTTTAAGCAGCAGAGTAATAACACAGTGAAGCTGAGTAGGGTACCAGGAGGGAGGATGACAAATGATCAGAAAGAGCCTGCTTAGAAAGCCATCGCAATGATCCAGGAAAAAAGAAAATGATGGCAATGACAACATGAGAGGAAAAGGCATTCAAGATACAGTTTTTCTTACTGTTTTAATGATAAACATTTCACAAAGAATGAAAAGAAGTGGAGACACCCTCCGTCCAGGGCTCTCTGCTGGGAGGGCATGATGGAGTCATTAACGGACCTAGAAAACTGGTGAGGAGCCCACTGTGACGGACGCCTGGCTGAACAAGGGTATGTTTATCTGCCTCCCAGCCAGGCTTGTTCCTTGCTCAAATGAACCTCTGTCCTCCCACTCCTGTTATGCTGTCGCCCAAGTCCTGGCTCCTACTTCTCCTTCTTGGCAGGGCCTGAGCAGCGTTTTTGTCTTTAGCTTCAGTTTGACTAGAGGCCTGTCTGGGTTGGGTTTCTCATTCCCTCCGGCTACCTCCACCAAACCACCAATTCAACATACTAAGTCTTCTGAACTAAACCAGTCACCATGCATGGAAAAGAAAAGACTTTTCGATGAAGTTTTAGTGTGTGTGTGGACGTGTGCACAGTAGGACTTAAGTTAAACCCTAGTGCCAATATTGCTAACTGCCCTGGCCTTCCGCAAGTCACTGCCTCTCCTTCTATAAACCTTATCTCCTAGAAAGCAGAGATTCTAACGCTTGTGCTGCCTGTCTCAGAGCTGCCATGAGTTCAAATGAGATAGGAAAAAATAATCTGCAATCACAAATTCAGTAAAGAAAGGGGCTGTGTCTTGCTCATCACAGTATCCCCAGCACAGTCCATGACACACGACAGGTTCTCAATAAATACTTGTAGACTAGTGAATCGATACCCCAGCAAGATGTTGTTATTAAGGCTGACTGGTCTTGTGAAGGAGATAAGGCTTGTTAGGCAGTGCTTTTAGCAGAAAACTAGACATCCTGGAACACTGTAAGGAATCAACCACAGGACCTGAGGTTGGCTTATAGCACAGACTTCAAATAAAAGCAATGGCCTGTCCCCCAACCAAAAAAAAAAAGCCATTCCTAGGGAAGATCTGTGGCATTCCAGCCAGCAGGTATCAGCGCAACATAGCTAAGATTAAATACAAGCTCACCTGAAATGTGTTGGAACTCATACGAACTCAGAATCAGATACTAAGCTCTTACCTGCCTTGATATTCGAGGAGTTAACTTCACCTCCATTCACACGTAAGTGTGCTAGACACTGTGGGTGAGCTGGTGGAAAATGTAGCCTAATTCTAAATGCCACCTGTGCTGCTGAAACTGCAGGCTGTGCTCTCAAGTATTATCTAAGATAGGCCTGCATTTAACAAGTAAAGGAACTGAGGCAGAACATTCAGAAACCACACACAGAGCCAGCACTTGTATCCCAGACTCCTGCCTCCCACTCAGGGCTCTTTAAACTCCAGTGGGCCCAGTTAGGAATTAATACAGTGGGGTTGGTTCAGCTTCACTTAATCCAGTGGTTCTCAGGGCAGTTTGCTTCCCTCCCACCAAGGGGACATCTGGCAATGTCTGGAGACAATTTTTGTTGTCCTGACATGATGGGAAGAGATGCTATTGCCTGGCATCTGCTGGATAGAGGCTGGACTGCTGCGAACACCCTCCTGCTGTACCACTGACCCCAGGGAAGCAGAGTTGTTTGTGTATGTCGCCTCCCTTGGACATGCGCTCTTCGGTCTCACTCATTTCTGTATTCCCAGCACTTTACAACTCCGACAGGGAGTATGGCCTTGAGAAACATTTGTGGGCCACATCAACAAAGGATCAGAAGCATGAAGGGTCAACCTGGAACCAAGGATGGACTACGATATGTTAGAAAGTGACATTATATTACTGCAAAACTGATGGAAAATACATACATCACGATATTCCCTAACAGAAATATTATAAGGGGAAAAAGATCTATTATAATTCTATTATAATTTTTTACAGTCGTTTAACACTTTCCTATTTATGTCTTTTACTATGTGCCTTTTCTATTTTTACATTCTTTTAAAATATTTTATGTATCCATTCAGTTACTTTGCGTCTTATTCTGCCTTTTTCCTTTTTTTTGTCAAAGAGAATTTGCATAGCCTTTAAGAAGTTAGGGTTGACTTTACAGTCTGTGTTAAGGCAGAAAGGGACTCAGAAACCACCTAGTGATTATAAATTTATAATCCACCTAGTTTTAAGGGATCCATGAATATTCTGAATGAATGAAACGAAACACTGTGTTTATCTATACATTTCCCTTGGGTACAAATCCAAACAAACAAACAAAAGAGAGAGAGAAATCTACAGGCCCTGAAGGGTTAAGAGCCACTGATATGTGTGAGTTGTTACCGATGAGGAAAAGGGGCCAGAAAGAGGAAGAAATCACCCAAAAGGGATCATGAGAGCTAGGCTAGATCCCTGCGCTTCCAACCCTCTCCACCTCCCCCTCTGCCACCTCCACCACTGGAGAACCTCTGTGAACAATCACTTCCAACCTCAACATTTTAAGGTATCTCTGAGACGAGAAAACAAAGCCGCAGAAAAACAACATGGTAACTGCAACAAAAAGAAAAGACTCAATCATGTGACCCGCAGACGAGAATCCACCACCAGACACCCCTTCAACCTCCCTGACTCAGGGTGTGACACACAGCCAGGGTCACCGCTCCTGAAGCAGTGAAGAAAGGGCGCTGCTAGGCTTCAAAACCACACCACGACCTCCAGGACACCGAGTGGTGTCCCGATGGATTTTACTGTCCATCCCCTACCTGCTTGCCCCCAGTTCAAATTCCCAAGGGCATTAAAGGAAAGCGTGTCTCCTTCCATCAGTTTCCAGATTGGACGTTTAGGGCTGAGGGGACTGGTAAAGTCATAGCGTGGAGCACTCACCAGGAGGCATATAAGGACAGAGGACCGAGGGTAGCCTGGCAGAGGGCACCGTGAACCCAGCCTATCCATGGCGTCGCCGGTAATTTAGCGGCGCGGCCGCAGCGAATGTGGCCTGTGGCTAAAATCCCCGGGGTGGGGGTAGGGGGCGGAAACTAAGGGCCTGAACCGCCTTCCCGCCCCGCCCCCCCACCTGCTGCCTGCCCTACTGCCCCGCCCCCGACAGACTGGCTGGAGCAAGAAAGTGGAGGTGGCTGGGAAGCCGGGAGAATTTTCTCCGGCCCCTCTGTCCTCAGAAACGTACAGCCCAAACACCAGACGCAGACCTATAACCCTTACAAAAATAAAAATACTATTTATTCCCTTCTCATTCCAACAACAACAACAAAATAATAAAATCCTCAGAGATGTACAGATAAAAACACGTATTCCTTAGGTACAGAAAGCCTTCAGAAAGCAAAGCACACAAACTCTGACACACATACACTAAACTCTTCCACTTGATACAGGCCCATCCCGCCTACAAAGACGACTGGGGCACACTCCGCTGCTTTGCTCTCCCCCACATCACCCCCTCCTCCCAGGATGTCCCTTCCAGTCCTCCTTGGTTTAGAACACTCTTGCCCCCAACTGCTCTCCCTATGAACTCATTCATCTTTCCAGGCCAGCTGCCCCAGCAGCCTTTCCCAGTTAATCTCACAGTCCTCTGTTCCCCTGAGGCACTGGGCACACACTTCTGCTGCAACATTTAATATCAACTATGGGGAACTGCAAACAAGCAAAGTAGCAAGCTAATGGCTGTAGCCCTTCAGGAATGCAGAGTCCACTGTGGTTGGGCCTGTCGTTTTAAGCCAGTTTTTTTTTAATGTGAAATACCCTAAGTTTTAAATGATGGCATTGCTGGGCAGGAGAAGGGATTGAGTGCACAAGGGCATAAGTAAACTTTTCAAAATTAAGGGATCTGTTCTATATTTTGATTGGGGGATTGGGGGATACTGGAAATCAATTTGAAATTGTTTTAAAACGGGAAGGTCAAACAAAATACATCTGTGGGCCAGATCTGGCCTGCATGCTGCCAGTTCACAGCTTCTGTGTTTATTTTAATTTACCTGTCCATTCCCTGGCACTATAATTCCTCAAAGGTGTGACGCACTTCCTAGCAAAGTTTCTGACAAAGTAGTGAATAAATCAGTCGTGGCCCTAGTTTTATTTACATCATTAGCTGTGCAGACTCAGGCAAGTCACCTAACCTCTCTGAACTGTTAGGGGAGGGGGTTGCTAAAGGATGGGCTAGAACTTCATAGGTCTAAAGGGAAGATTAACAACAGTACAGGCTAATGTAAAAGTGCTTTATAAAATGGAAGATCATGTTAGCATTTTCAGAGTAAGTATCCTCATGGCAACTACCAAGGTTAACTCAGAAAACCTCCATTTGTGATTCGAGCACTTAGTATCTAGGAAAAACAGAGTTCAGAAATGAGGCTGAGTGGTTTTAAGAAAACCTTTATATTCATAGTCCACTAAAATAAACTAAGACTCTGATCTTCTATACCTATTAGATTAGTAAGAATGACCACTTACCTTAAATTCTGAGATATGTCTCCCAGTTTAGCCCAGGACTCCAAATGAAGCCTATTAAGTTTAGGCTTAATAAATGTTTGCCCAACAACTAAATGATATATATGGACATGTGGCTGTTTCCTGGTGATCACACCCCAGAGTATCATTAACTGCTGCCCTCTTTTTGGCCTGGCTTCATAACTGTTTTATCTATTAAGCCCAGAGTTGTTTAACAGAAAAAAAAAACTTTAGTTCAGAGTGTTGCTAATTTTGATCATAAGGATGGTCGTGAAGAAGGTGATGTTGGGGCAACAGGGAAAAGATGGCAAGAGATGAATTGTTATTTGGAAGAAACCTCCTCTTGGTTCAACTTTTTCCATCAACTCAGGCACATCTACTCCTCCCAAATTCGATTCTGAGGTTGGATTCCAAAAGTCTAATCCTGCATTTCTGGTTTGTGCAGATTTTCCAGATCTAGTAAGATTCTTAGTGCTACTGCCTGACAGTCCAGGTTCTTCCCCTGGAGGCTTCTCACCCTCCCTCTTCCTGCACCTCCTCCTAACAGGATTCAGACTTACACTGTTCTTCAGACTCATTCTGTGTCCATCTTCTTCACCCGCATTTCCTCTTCATTACGTATCTCCCTTCTCTTTCTTTAGAAAAGAGGTTTTATTTGGAAGATTCTCTTGCACCTCTTGATAGGTACACAACAATTTTATCATGATCTTTTGTAAAGGCCAAACTTCGATCCAAGAAAGGATCCATATTCATTGCAGCACCAGTGAGGCCTCAAGAAGAGAATAAGACAGCATTCAATTTCCTTAGGCTCATCTTTACCTCTGGTTCTAGGGACTTGTCTTCTTCCTCATCTACAGACTCTCATTACCACCGAAATTTGGAACTTCAATAGCTCATTAATTTCATTTTCATCAATATTGATGAATTGAAAGCCCATCTGTTTTTTTCAGACTGATTTTTTTTAAAAAACAGCTTATAGGAAATATGCATAATTATTCATTCACGTCGTCCCAAAGTTTCCACCAGGCTTTAGTAAGAATGGCTGGTTTTATATCATCCATAGACACTTTTATCACTATCAAAGTGTCAGCAATGTTGTTGACATGTTACTTTCAAAGTAAGAGAAGGGGTTTTATTTAATACAGTCAGCAAAGTGGTCAGACATGTGCTTGGTGTAATACCTCCTGAATGCTTCAACTATTCCCTGATCCAAGGACTGAAGACAGCTAGTGCCTTCCGGAGGGAGAAACAGTATTACCTGAGGATGAGCAAAGAACAATGAGCCTGGGTGATTGGGACCGCTGTTCAAAATTAGCAACACTCTGAACTAAAGTTTTTTTTTTTTTTCTGTTAAACAACTCTGGGCTTAATAGATAAAACAATTATGAAACCAGGCCAAAAAGAGGGCAGCAGTTAATGATACTCTGGGGTGTGATCACCGGGAAACAGGAATGTTTTTTTTTAACCTTCTTTCCAAGAGACATGTGGGTTTAGGATCTTTCTAAAGCAGCAACGGTTTTTATCTTCTTGTCACTCGTGTCACTGGCACACACAAAGAGGAAAATCCTGTCCTTAGCTTCCTCTGAAACGTCCAGATTGTCTTTTCCCCTAAAGGTCTACTAAGGAATGTACTTCCAAAACAAGCTCATGTCCTTGGCATGAAGACCCATTGAGGCACATAGCTTCTAGCTCTGATCAGTTTCTGGAGTTGGAGTTACTTCGCTGCTAACTGGGCATTTAAAGGTTCTTCCTCCCTTATCAACCCTGAATTTTGTCAACTGTAGCAACTTCTACATTCTCAAGCCATCCCTTGTTCGCATGAAATTTATCTGGGTTGCCTTTCCCAGTGGTTTCCATCAGATGTGTGTAATGCGTTTGGAATGGTTGCAGACATCCTTCAGCATCAGAGGTTGTCACTCACCCCCACCCCCATGGTCTGGTCTGGTCTTGTCCTGGACCCAAAAGGTTAACTCAGTCTCCATCTTCTTGATGTATAGTCACTCGGAATGAACACCACCTAGAGGAAGGGGGCGAAACACTTCATGATGATGGCCTTCTTGTTTTTCTGAATCGTGCGCCGCAAGACTGACTCAAATGACGCCCCCAAAGGGTCCCCTGTCGGTGTTACCCACACTTTCTTCCAGCTTCTGGAAGAAGAGATTTTTCGTCTTGCCTTCCGGAGGCTTGGCCCGTCACCGCCTCTTGATACGTGCCTGACCGGGGTTCAGGATGCCCATCACCTCCGTCCGCCTGGGTTAGCCTCAGCCGCCGCCCAGTCCTCAGCGGCCTCTGCCACTTCAGCCCTCGCCTCTGCCAAGAGTATGGTTTGAGAGCCAGGAGGCTGCTCGCAAGACCAATTAACCTTCCGTGGGTCCTCATTCTCACTATTCCGCTTGCCAGATATCCGACGAGCCTTCGAGCCCCGTGGGAAATATACAAGCCAACAGGAAAAGTACAACTGCGTGACCAATTGAGCGGCGCCTCAGACTTCGCCGGACTGCGACTCCACAATCACCAATGACCCTCCGATCGGCCCTGACGGACACAAGTCTCAGGAGTCCGGCAGTTCCCGACCACGCCCACTCCGCCAGCTCCGCTTTGCTACTGGAGGGTTTGCAGTCACAGCCAGAACTCCGCTACGTGTGGCTGCGTGCGTCAGATCTCGCGAGACCTAGAGAGGCACGCCGGGAGCCGGGCGGGCTGCGGGCCAGCCCCTTCTCCTGGGGCGGATGATGGCGGCCCAGGTGCTGGCACTGCTAAGGGAGGTGTCGCGGCTGGAAGCGCCGTTGGAGGAGTTGCGCGCGCTCCAGTCGGTGCTGCAGGCGGTGCCGCTCAGCGAGCTCCGCGAGCACGCGGTGGAACTGCAGCTTGGCCCGCTTTTCTCTCTGCTCAATGAGAACCAGCGGTGAGAGGAGCCCAGAGCTTGAGCGGGGTGGCAGGGGCGGGAAGAGACCCCCGAGTAAAGATGGGGGCGGAAGGGTGAAGGGAGGGCTTTTCCAGTCTCAAAAGAAGGTTAAAAAAAAAAAAAAAAAGCTTATGTTTCTGAGGGAAGGACCCTAGGATGAGAGGCAAAATAAAGGGTTCCAGTGCAGCCCCTGAGCTGTGCCCCTGACCGTCTCTTGGCCTCGCTGCCTTCATTTTGAAATAGAGATTGAGCGGAGAAAGCAACATTGCGCACCTACAGGGAGGACGCCACAATCGTGTGTACAAGTGCTTGACTTTTTTCTTCTCTGAAGAAGGGGTTCTGTCGTAGCATTTAGGCAAGATCCACTATTTTAGGTTCGATGTTTGAGCTCCAGTATTTTAGATTCACGTACCATTTGGCCTAGTAATTCTTTTTATGGGAATTTAACATGCAGGAATACTCGCTCACAAAATAAATATACAGGAATATTCTAACAGAAGGTGACATAAGAAAACTAAAAACAACCTAAATATCTATTAAAAAGGGATTCTAGCCCTGGCTGGTGTGGCTCAGTGAATTGAGCACGCGCCAGCTAATCAAAGGGTTGCTGCTTCGATTCCCAGTGGAGGCGCATGGTGGGTTGCAGTCCAGATCCCCAGTAGGGGGCGCAGGAGAGGCAACTACACATTGATGTTTCTCCCTATACCTCCTTCCCTTCCCCCCTCTCTAAAAACATCTTAAAAAAGGGGGGATTCTAAATAAGTTTTGAAACATTACCATGTAATACTATACTGCTATTAGAAAAGTTGAGGTAGCTCTCCATATGTGTCTATCGAGCTCTGTGTTGAATGAAAGAATTATAGGAATTTATGATTGCGTTATGAATAATTTTGGGAAAAAAGGGTTACAATCCCTCCACCCAGGCTATTGTAAATTGGGAATATATGAAAGGTAGAGCAGAAACTATTAATATTGAAATGGAACTTAGAATGATAGGACGGCAACTTTTACTTTTCATTTCACGTACATTTGTGGTGTTTGACTAAAAACAATTTTGTATTTCATAATTTAGAAGTTAAAAAATATTTGTGATCCAGGAATTTTGTACTTGAAAAGAGAATGACTTACTGGAGCCACGGTGCATCATTTAGGAGGGTTTCTTGGCTCTGACCAAAGATTCCTCCCTTTTTCATAGGTTTTCCTTTCACTAAATCCATTAGTTAACATTATTCAGGTCAGCTTGTAAAATATCTCTTATTTGTCCTCTTTCGTTCAGGCTTGTATTTTCTTCTTGTTACATATGCTGCATCCATCTGACCTGTTACCTCATGGCTTCCTTTTCTAAGTGTGTCCTTCCCATGCTGCAACCACAGTGAACTTCTGGGTTCGGCTGGCTCACATCTTCCCTGCGGTTTCCTTCCCCTGAGCATGACTTGGCACTTTCCTAGCTTTGTTCCTGCCAATTCTCCTACCTGACGTGCCCTCTCCATATCTAAATTCTGTCCATCCTTGACAGCCCAGGTGACGCCACAAAGTCCTTCTTGGTCACTCCTGTTGCCTGTGACTGGTCCTCAGATCTCCTAAAGGACATCATTGTTATTTCTGTTAATGATACTTGCCACCATTGCCTTACTTTACAGTTCTGTATGTGTTTATTTCTAGTTTGTAAATTCTTCGAAGGTGGGGGCCATATTTTGTCCATGTCTGTATCCCTTCTAGGGCTTAGCAGACAATACGATATGTGCCCAATAAAAGACTGGACTCAGTAATTTTAGAGAGGCCACCTCTTCCAGCCTCTTTGTAATATAGATGAAGAAACTTTCAAAGGTCACACCATAAGTTAACGCCAGAGATGCAGTAGGATCTGAAATGAAGGGCAGTCTGGAGGATAAGGTCCATGGGGGAGTTGGTTTGCTGAATGAACAAGCAGTGCTCTAGGAAACAATTTTAATGGAAATTTAAAGACAGGGTAATTCAAAACTGGGTACATACATAGTGCATGTGCATACCAACTGCACATGTAGAAGTAATTCTCTGCATAGATTGACAATCTACAGGGATATTGCTCTTATTCTAACACACACAGATCACTATATACTGGTCAGTATCTGATCAAATAAATGTAAATCTAGAATTGACAGGAGTTTTTGTGAAAGAAATGAATTCCTCAGATTACTGCTTTACCACATGGAAGTCAAACAAAACTGATTATAAGTTATTAACTCTTTGGCTTCTTGGTACCAAAGGGCCACATGTGACCTGAAATTTGTGCACTATACATTTTAATGTACTGTTGGGAGCTGTTCTTCTTGGTTTCAGGGACTGTAGCCTCCCACTGCTAGAGCTGAGTGAAAAGGCCTTGGGGACATGAGCCACTAAGGAGACAGAACATTACCTCCTGGCAGGAGTGCAGCCCCTGCCTCCCTCACTTCCCCCTGCTTGGCCCTGGCGGATGATGGATTAGCCAGTGATGGGTAAGATTCCTCAAAGGAGGAGGGACAACTTAAGACAGGCACTGTTGCAAAGGGCTATCAAGGAAGGACTTAGGGGTCTTCAGAGAAGGGGCAGAAAGACCCTCACCCTTTGCTTTGTCATAGCCTGAATTTTAAGTCTTTCTGCTAAAGTCTCTTAGTCTCTTGGCTGCTTTGCTATCCCAGCCTGACTCAGCCTGGGAACTATGCCAAGAGGCAGCTGGGACCTTGTACTGGAACAGTTGGCTCCAGGGTTATGAATCTGGTCAGAAAAAGGATATACCTTGTTTCCTTTGAGGCTTGCTCTGCCCTGTTGCGATGAAACTGACACCCAAGCTAAAGCCAACCCTCACCAGAGACAATCCCTTTGTTTCTTCAACTATTATCTATAAATGAAGTCAGTTTTTCATGACTGCAGCTTTTTAGACACTGGTCGATGAGCTTTATATGCATACTATGTATCTGTGAGCTGAACCCAGTAAAAATGCAGGGAAGAAGGTGTTCAGGACCTTACTCCTTTGGGGGACTGGTCACCTTTCCTCCCCAAGCAGATCACGCGCTGGACATTTTTATTCTCATTCATGATGACCTGGGGGAGTTCTGCAGGCAGAGCTCCCCCATCAAGCTACCGTTGCTTTTTTTAAAAACAGATTTATTGAGCTATAATTTATATAAACTACACATAATAAAATGTACAGTTTGACAAGTTTTGACATGTATATATCCATAAAATTGTCACCATAACACCATAATCAAGATAGTGAAGGTTCCTCTCACCCCCACATTTCCTTGTGCCCCTTAGAAGTCCCTTTCTACTTCAGCCAGGCAACCACTTATCTGCTTTCTATCACTATAGATGAGTTTGCCCTTGGTGTTTTTTTTTAGTGTTTTATATAAATGGAGTCATATAGTATACACTATTTAGTTTCTTTGACTCAGCATAATTATTCTAAGATGTATCAATGTAGTATGAAGGAATACTTCATTCCTTTTATTGCTAAGCAGTGGTCCATAGTACAGATCTAGTACAATTTGTTTATCAGTTTCTCTGTTAATGAACATTTGAGTTGTCTCCAGCTTGGGTATATCACAAATAACACTGCTATGAACATTTGTGTACAAGTCTTTAGATAGGCATATTCTTTCTTTTCTCTTTGAGTGAATACCTAGGAATGGAGTGACTGGATCATATGGTCGGTGTATATTTAAGTTTTTAAGAAACTGCCTAACTGTTTTTCTAAGTGATTGTACCATTTGACATTGCCTCATAGGGGTATGAGAGTAGATTAGAGGACTCAGTATAAAACCTAACACTATAAAACTTCTAAAAGAAATAATAGGAAAAAATTTTTGTGACCTTAGGGTAAACAAAGATTTCTTAAATGTGACACCGAAAGCATGATCCACAGAAAAACAAATTGATAAATTGGACTTTATCAAAATTAAACATTCTACTCTTCAAAGGTCACCATTAAGAGAGTGAAAAGGCAAGTCACAAATGGAGAAAAATCTTTGCAAAGAATATACATGATTAAGGAGTTGTATTCAGAATATATAAAAGCTCACAAAACTCAATAAAAAGAACCCACTTTAGAGTGTCTAGAATATTTGCATAAGATATATGGATGGGAAATAAGCACGTGAAAAGATACTGAACATCATTAATCATTAGAAAAATGCAAATTAAAATCACATTGAAATTCTACTGTACACTTATTAGATTAGCTAGAATCAAAAAGACACCAGAACAATCCAAGTGTTCCATCAGCGGATAAATGGATAAACAAAACGTGGTCTATACATACAGTGGAATATTAACGGCCTTAAAAAGGAGGGAAATTCTAACACATGCTGCAATGTGGGTGAACTTTGAAAAGATTATACCAAGCGAAATAACTATCCCGCTTACGTGAGGTACGTGGGGTGGTCAAATTCACAGAGAGAAAGTAGAATGGTGTTTGCCAGGGGCTGAGGAAAGGGAAAATAGGAAGTTTGTGTTTAATGACTAGAATTTGTTTTAATGAAAGATGAGAAAATTCTGGAGCTGGATACTGGTGATGATTGCACAACATCATGAATGTACTTAATGCCACAGAATTGTGCATTTAAAAATGGTTAAAATGGTAAATATTGTGGTATATACAATTGCAATTTTTTTTAAAGGAAAAGAAACCCATTAGCATTCTCTCCCCATTTCTTCTCTTAT